TTTCGGGGGGCTTCTCACGCGCACTTATCCACCAGAAATAGGATGAGCCCCCCCCAAGTACCCCCAAAGGTTGGGTGGCGTGGGGGGCTACAAGGCAGAGACAATGGCCTTGAGGCTGTCGAGGTCGAGGTGGGCAGTTGCGTCTGGATGGTCGACCGAACCGAATCGCGGGTAGAGCCAGAGTGTGGTCTCATCGGGCTTGGGCACGGCGGCAGTCAGCGCCGACTCCATGGTAACGGTGACAGAGAGCGCAGTCTCGCCGCGATGGAGCTCAATCTCTACACCAACAGCGATTGCCCCCATCCGCACCCCGTCAGCACCACCGCCCATGATCAGCCCATTAACATCATGGTCATGGTCGCGGCCATGGTCATGGTCGTAGTCGTGGTCATGGTCATGGTCGTAGTCGTGGTCATGGTCATGGTCATAATCGTCGTCATCATCATCGTCATCATCATGGTCACCCCCCCCATCATCATCATCATCATCATCATGAGTCACCACCACCACCACCACCACTCTGCCCCCCTCCCCCTCCTCCCCTCCTCCCCTCCCACCACACCTACCTCCAGGCTCCACGCCCAGCCTCTGTGCCACAGCCACAAACAGGTCATGGACGGTGGCCGAAGAGGCGACCGAGACAGCGAACCTTCCCACAGTAGGCAACGAGATAGAGACAGAGTACGACATGACAAAGACTAGTTATGTATATGTAGGCTATGCGGATGTAGGCTATGTAGGTAGTGTGTCAATAGTGAGGTATAGTCGGAGTATAGGTACAAGTGCTCCCACTTGGGCAAGTACGGCCACACCTGCAAGCCAATGTCTCTCAGCTGCTGGCCAACCACCACCACCGCTGACACCACCACCTCTCCCACCACATGTTCAAGTCCGGCTGGGACGACGAACCCTTGGTCCGCGAGCCTCTCTCGCCTCTCTCGCCCCTCCCCCCTCTCTCCGACTCACCTCGTCGTCGTCGTCGTCGTCGGAGCTCTCATCGTGACTCGTTAGAGCATGCCAACGGCGCGCTTGATGATGGAGGCTGGGGAGATGGGAGAAATAGGGATGACGTTGGTGGCAATGACAATGGCAATGGCCATGTCGGTGGCGGTGGCGGTGGCGGTGGCGGTGGCGGTCGGGGCGTGGCGCTCAATCCTATCTTTGCGCCACTTGCTTCCGCCGGATTCGCCCAACCGTCAACATTCGAGTCCCATCTGGAAAGGATGGCCACAACGCTGTCGAGCTCGATCTCGGCAAAGACCGTCCTCGTCCCACTCTTCACTCTCGCATGGGCCATCTTTCTTCCCTCCATGGCACTCACCTTTCTGCCGGATGCCACACTGTCGTGGTCGTCGGCATTCATCGCTGTACTCTCGCTCGCTGGCTCGTCAGCTGTCAACAGCGCCGCCATCTCAGACGTGCCCGGTCGCGTCGTCGTCGTGGCCACCTCTCTCATCTTTGCCGCCCTCATTGTTGTCGCCTTTTGGTGGGCCACCGCGCGTCTCGCCCACAACCTCTCTCGAAACCTCTCTGACATCGCCTTTGTCCCCGAGGACGTGCTCGAGCAGGATCCGTACGAGCTGACCTCGCCTCAGGCCGGCGGGCCGTGGCCGCGGCTAGCACTCGCCAGCTTCCTCTGGCTCGCTTTCTTTCCATGGCGGCTGCCATGCTTCTTGTTGTCCCGGGCGCGGTCACCTCGCTCACTGCTGGTGTCAACATTGCCGCCCAGCTCGCCTCGACCGCTTGGTTTGGCCACATTGACACGACGCCGCCTTCGACCCAGATTGTGCTGGCCATCACCCTCCTTGGCCTCACCGTCAGCCTTGCACTTGTTGTCCTGGCTATCACCGACATCCGCCTCCGCGCTGCCCGATCTGCGCTCCTCCACGCTTACGACAGCGGGCGCTACCTCATCACCCGCCTCGGTGCCGTCGATGAACGCGAAATCGCGCTCCTCCTCGACCGCACAACGCTCACCTCACACACTTCGCTCTACATCGCGCTGCCAGTTGTACTACTTGTCGTCTTTGTCTTTTGGCCGAGCCTCGCCAGCATTGCTCTCTGGCGCGCGGCGAGCAATACCCAGCTCGACCTCCTCGACGCCGCCTACGTCGCCGCCGGCTGCGTCTCCACCTCGTCCTTTGGCGCTTTCCTTCACACCTTTCCGAACGCCACCCACTCGCCGCATGAAGCCTCGCCCGCACGGGCTAGTGAGGTCGCTTCGCGCCTCGACTCGCAGCTCGAGCTTGTTCTCGCCTTTGTGCTCCTCGGTGCTGTACTCCTGCTGATGATCGCCTGCTCGTGTGCGGCCTCGCTCGCACACATCCACCAAAACGGCGTCTTTGTTCGCAAGCTCCTGGTCTCGGTCAACTGGCGCGGCGTCGCTCTCCGCGCTGGCTACTCGGACAACTCGGTGGCGCTACCCATCGACGACGACCCGACCTCGCTCGACCATCGCCAGCAGCTCCTTGAGCTCCCGCCGCTCATTACTCTCTCGGACGCGTGGGACGAACACCTCACTGTCCATAGACTCCACACCTCGACCTGGCTCACAGCAGGCGCGATCCTCTTTGCCGCTGTCGTTGTCCTCGGCGCCGCCATTTCATCCACTCTCCGCTTCGGTCTCTCCTGCTCCTCACTCCCAGCCGGCCTCCTGGACGACCCCGGTGCAACTCCGTGCGGCTCGTGGCCGACTGCCATTTACATCACAGCCACTTCACTCCTGGGCATTGGCACCGGGAGCGTTGCCGCACCGGCAGCTCTACCACCCGGCGGCCGAGCCCTGCTTGCCCTCGCCTCGCTCTTTGCCGCCGCGTGGTGGATCATTGCCTTTGCCGCCGTCTCCGAGGCGGCCGTCGCTGCCGCCCGGCTCGGATGGCTTCGAGAGCACGAGGACTACGCCTCGACCGTACTCCGCGTCCTCGCCGCCCACGCCGAGGACTCACACGACGCCAGCGAGCTCACTGGCCAGCCCTCGTCCGAGCTGTACTCGGGCGAGTCTGAGTACAACAACGAGTCGTAAAGGCTCTAGCTTGTTGTCGCATCTCTTGCTTCAGCCTCGCCTTCGCGGAAGAACCGCAGCTTGGAGAGAAAGTCGGACGAGATCTGGTCGCGGGTCTTGGGTGCCTGCGCTGGCAGCGGCTCGGGCGGCGCAGGCGCCGACGGTGCGAGCACGCCCGGTGGGAATCTATCGAGCACGTGCCCGCGCGGCGAGCGGTCTGGCCCGCCGCGTGCCCGTGCCCGCGCCACTTGCAGCCGCTCCACGAGCTTGCGCTTCCACAGCGGCTCGGCTGGTGTGTCCTTGGGCAGGATCGAGTGCTCGCCAATGCCGACTTGCCAGTGGTACGGCTCGGCGTCGTGATCGTGGTCCCCGGCGAGCGGCGAGTTGCCAGCGCTCGACGACGACGCCGGTGGGCTCGGTGAGCCACCGCGTCGTCCGCCGTCGACGGCCGGTCCGGTGCTTGTCTGTCGCCGCATCGTGGCGCCCGACAATCCGCCGCTGCTCACCGCCAGTGGCAGGTCGGACGAGCTGCCAGAGCCGAGCAGGGCCGAGGCAGGCGGCGGAGAGCTCCCGGCTGCATCGACCGAGAGCCGCCGCATGACCCTGTCGCGAAGGAGCGGTGAGGCCCGGAACGCCGACTGGAGTGACGAGACTTCGGAGAGCATGTTTTGCCGCTCGTACGAGAGCGTACCGACCTCCTTGCGCAGTGCATCGCGCTCGCGGGTCAGCTCGCAGATTGTCGACTCGTAGCCCACGCCCTTGTCTACCGCCCGCCGCAGCGAGGCCTCCAGCCGCGCCACTCGCGATCGCAGGAATCGCAGCTCGTCGGCGTCGCCAAGCGTCTCAGCCGCCTCGGGTGCCGCCGCCGGTGGCGACACGCTCGCCTCGGCGCGAGCCAGCATCATCGCGTCCTCGTAGTGCAGGTGCTGTAGCTCGAGGTCGCGCTCGCGCGCGGCAATGACCGACTCGAGCTCAGCCACATACGACTCGAGGGCAGCAACTTTGGCATGCGACTCGGCCAGCCGCTTGAGGCACTCAAAGATGGTGAGCGTCATCGACGAACCGGGCGGCGGATCATCGCCAGTGCTTCCGCCGTCGTCTGGCCCCGGCCGAGTCCGAGTGATCCGGACCGAGTGCGCCATCGACTTTTGCAGCAGCTCTGGGTCTGCGAGGATGGCCGGGACCGGATACGACTCGACGCCACCGTTCTCGCTGGCAGCGCCGGGAGGCGACAAAAATCAAAGACATCGTTGAGCATGTCGAGTGTGGCGTCGCCGTCGACAACCGAGTTGTAGACCGAGGGCGAGGCTTCGTGCGCCAGCGGGCCCTTGGCCGCTGCAATTGACGCCCGCTCAGCCTCGGTCAGCGCCGAGATGTGTGCGAGCGTCTGGTGCATCTCCGAGATGTCGGCCTTGCTCGCTGCTGCCGCCCGGCACGAGGTGAGCCATGGATGCGAGCAGAGCTCGCGCGCGGTGGCGCGCAGCGGCGGATCCTTGACAAAGCATGCCTTGAGAAACTTGATCAGGAGCGGCGACGCTGCCGATGGGCCAGGGAACGGCGGGTGTGCTTCGCCGACCATCTTGAACATGGCCGGAATGGGTCCAAACTCGTAGAACGGCGGCTTGCCCGAGACCAGCTCCAGCACTGTGCACCCGAGCGACCAGATATCGGCGGCAGTTGTCGGCGACTTCATCTCGATGACCTCGGGCGCCATCCAGTACGGCGTCCCGACTACCGACCGCGTACCCGACGGGTCTGAGAGTCGGGTGGCGATGCCAAAGTCAGCGAGCTTCACCTGGCCGTCCTTAGTCAGCAGAATGTTTCCGCCCTTGATGTCGCGGTGGATGACGCCCTCCGAGTGGAGGTAAGCCAAGCCAGAGAGGACCTGGTCGAGATAAATGGCGAGGAGCGGCTCTGGGAGGACGCCAAAGCGCTTGACCACTTGTGCCAACGAGCCGCCTCCGCAGTACTCCATGACAAAGACCATGATCTCGCCATCGGCCTGTGCTACGCACTGCAGAAAGCGAACAATGTTCTTGTGATTGAGCACTCTCAACAGAGCGACTTCATGCGCAAGCTCGCGCTTCCGCTTGGACGACATGCCGGTCTCCTCGAGCTTGACTCTTTGACGGCCACAAAGTCACCTGTTGACGTGTTCAGGCCCTTGTACACTGCGCCGAACGCTCCCGTGCCGAGCAACTCGCCGAGCTTGACCTCTCCAACGCCAGCCACCACCACTGTTCGTCGGTCATCGCCATCATCGTGCCTACCGCCACCAGAGCTGCTGCCGCTGCCACCGCCGCCGCCACCGCCACCGCCACCGCCGTCCCGCCCAGCCTGCTCACGCAAGAGCACAGACCGTCTCAGATAGCCACCACCTGCAGACATGCCGCTAAGGGTATGCAGTCTTGGCTCTTCTCTGTCCCCCACACACGCACACGCACCCTCCCTCTGGAGCCGAGGTGGGGTGTGGCCGTCTCTGCCTCGACCAAGCGACGTGGCCTGCGGCTGAGGGGGGGGGGGGGGGGGGGGGGGGGGAGGGAGAGCCAGTCGATCGTCCGCTGGCTGACACCCGCACATACCGCACACACACACACACACACACACACACACACACACATGCACACACATACACACACATACATACACACAATCATGCATGCATGAATACACATACGCAAAAACTGTAATTCGATCGCATACTGTTTTGGGATTCTACATACTCTGCGTTGGCGTGGGGATGGCGTGGGGATCGCACTTGATGGCGACGTTGCTCATCTACCTCTTGCCGCAATCGATCAACAGCACAAGCACCTGCATCCATACACCCTCACACCGCCATCAGCCCCCACACATACACACACACACACACACACGCACACACACACACGCACACATACACACACTCCCCGCCCCACCCGCCCACACCCATCGCATCCGATCCCATCGCACCCCATCCTCGCTCACTGCCAAACCAAACCGCTGACCTCAACCACGACGACGACAACCACCACAGCCACGACATCCACCTCGGCCACCACCTCACCCTACACCATGACCCCCGCTCGGACCGTCGCGCTAACACTCGGCCTCAGTCTGGTCATTGTTGCGTCAGTCTGTGCTGTGCCCTCATCTTCTCTCGCCATCTCCTGGGGACAAGACCAGCATGCGCTGTTGGTCACCTTTACCCCATCGTCATCCCATGGATTCTGCGATGATGGTGGTGATGCGGTGATGGTGGCAGATGGTGAGTCGGTCATCATCACATGTGGGGATGGCCAAGACGGTACTCCCCCTGTGGTGGCAATCACCCTGAGAGAACCGGTGGCTGGTCCTGATTCTGGTCATCATTGTGTTCATCATGCTTCGGGCTCGCTGGTCTGCTCGCTCGTCAAGGCACTCCCGCACTTTCATGATCATCTGCTGCAGCCTGGTGCAGACACCATTCCTCGGCATGTCGATGTCTCCATCAACTGGGACAAGTGGGAGGAGCCCGATGACGCCGACATCAATGTCCTCGATCTGTACGCCTCGTCGTCGTCAAAGATCTCTCCCGTCGACGACAGCTCGGCCGCCGATACCTTTGCCGCTCACGACCTGGTCGTCCTAGATCTTGCCTATCCTTGGTGCTACCGCTGTGAGCGTATGCAAAAGGCGCTCAAGCGCGTCGCCAAGATGTTCCACAACAACGCCCGTCGCTACAAAAAGGTTCATCGCCCGGCCTTTGTCTTTGCTGACGCCCGCGAGAACATCCGCCTCCGCGCAGAGTATGACGACTCGTGCCTCGGCGGCGGGTGCTCTATCAACATTGTCAAGGCCGGCGAGCCGGCTTCAGTGGTTGTGCCAACCGAGCCCATCACCGCCGAGTCGCTCTACGCCGAGATAGAGCGCTACGTCGGCCCACTGGTCGCCGACCTCCCCTCTGGTGCGCTCGACTCGGCCCCTGTTGCCGCCGCACTGGCAAAGGCCCTTGCCTCCTCGGCCAAGGCCGACAAGGGCCTCGTCGCCATCTACATCGATGAGGATGACGGGTCCGACCTCGCCGCCGATGTCTACGACGCCGTCTTTGCCGTCGCCGCCCGCTACCGCAAGCACTTTATGTGCGTCGTCCACCACGGCCGCCGCGGCGGTGGCGGGACCCACGTTGTAGCCTACCCCAAGCCGAGCCGCTTCGACGACGCCATTGACGGTGGCCGTGCCGGCCTGACCGTCACGCTCACGCCAGACCTGATCTCACTCGATGCGCCGCGCGAGACGGAAGCCCGCCTCCTCGTCGCTGTCCAGCCAGTCCTTCAAGAGTACTCGTGGTCGCTGGTCGAGGCTGCCGCCGATCTACCTGTCCCGTCCGGCCTCGTCTTTGTCAACATCTCCGGTGCCGAGATCAACCCCGACCGCGACGCGCAGGTCGCCCACTTGGCGAGCCTCGCCAAGCATGTGGCTGCTCCGATGCGTGGCTCGCTGGTGGTCAAGTACCTCGACCGCGGCCAGGCCTTTATGCGCAACGTCTACGGTCTCGCCGAGGCCAACGAGAGCGTCGCCATGGCCATTCGCAACTCGTTTGCCGCTGACGCCTATGTCTACGCTCGCGAATTTCTCGAGCTCTCGCCGGACGACGGTGCAATCTTTCCTGACGGCGACAGCGAGTTGGCCCAGAGCATGCTTGCCTTTGCCCACGAGTGGGCGCGCGGCGATGCCCGTCGCTTCTACACCTCGCGCGAGCTCTCCGAGTATGAGCTTCAGCTCAACAGCGTGCCCGGCCACATCAAGATCCTCAACCAGGCCATCATGTGGGATGTTGTCGACGCGCTCACCGATCCCGACGGCATTGTTGAGGAGGCCGTCGTCATGGTCTACTCGCCATGGCACTCGGGTGCCGAGTATGCCCACAATGTTCTCGATCGCATCCACGACGCCATTGTGCTCGAGGGCTCGCTCGAAGGCCGTCTACTGGTCGGCTCGTACGATACCTCGGAGAACGTGTGGGACGACTCCACGTTCCCTGGCCTGGACGAGTCTGGCGACGCGCCTGTGGTCTACCTCTACTCGCGGAGCGATGACGGCCTAGCCATCGAGGCGCTTTTGGGCAAAGAGACCAAGATCACAGCCCGCTCGCTCTGGGCCTGGCTCCGGACCTCGTCGGCCACTATCGGCGAGCGGTGGCAAGAGCTGGTCGCTGCCCGCAAGGCCATTGTCGCTGCCCAGCGTGAGGCCAGGCTCGAGCTTGCCAAGACCATTGCGTCCGCACCCAAGGTCGAGCTTGCGCCGCTCGACGGCACACCGGCGCCAGAGACGCCGGCTTACAAGCAAGTCCTGAGTGCGGCTGGGAGCGACGCCCCCGTCCCGCCGCCTGGTGCCAAGGTCGCAGTCCGCTACGAGATGCGCTACGGCGACGAGAGCAACGTCGTCATCGAGTCGGTAGCGATGCGGCGCACCGTTCCGCCGCGCTTGTTTGAGCTGGGCCAGGGCCAGCAGCTGCAGTGCATCGACGTCGCGGTCGCCACCATGGCCGCCGGCGAACGGGCGTGGGTCTGGTGCCCGCCAGAGCTCGCCTACGGCTCGGCTGGCTCCGACGACGGGCGCGTCCCGCCCAACACGCCGCTCGCCTTTGACATCGAGCTTGTCTCGTTCACTGAGCCGCCCGCCCGGTCTCCGTCCTCTCCTCCTCGCCCGGCCGGTGAGCCCGAGTCGGTGCCGCGGTCCGGCTCTGTCGTCCGGGACGAGCTTTAGACGTTGAACCACTTGGCCCACTCGGGCAGGAGGCTCGCGGGCGACTGTGCGTGTGTGGCTGCGGTGACAACCCGGAACTCGAACGGCGCGTTGCCGAGGAGTACATCGCGGTCGGTGACCCACGAGAAGAGCCCGTCGCCGGCAAACTCGGCGAGTGGGTTGATCTCGCACACAAGCACCTCCCACCGCTCGGGCGCGTCGAACAGGCCCGCGCGGTCTCTGCTCGGCTCAAAGTCGGGGAGCGTCACGATGAGATCGACGACAAACGAGTCGAGGCCGACCGCGCCCGACGCAATGAACTTACGGGTAAAGTCGGCTACAACATCCTCGACAGCCGCCACGTTGGCTGCGAGCCGGGGAAAGTACACCAGCGGATTGTACTGCGTCAGGGCGGTGAGCTGCGAGTTGCGCACAAAGCCGCGGAGCTCGAGCTCGAGCGGGAAGCGGGTAAACCGGCGGACAAAGACCGACATCGGCTTGGCGGCCTCGCCTCGCTCAACATACGTCCGCAAATCGTCCAGGATTCGCGACGAGAGCACCAGCAACCGCACCGCGTCGCGGCCGCTCGACACCGCCATGGCCTCTGTCGATGCCTCGTACATGGCCACCAGTCGGCGGTTGGTCTTGCCGCCGCCGTCGCCGCTGTCATCACCGTCATCACCCGCGGCGGCCTCGGCGGCCCGCAGACTCTCACCAAACGATGGAAGGAACAAAACGGCGTCCTTGGGCGACCGTGACGAGAGCCGCACAAAGACCTCGTCGCATCCAAGCTTCGCCATGCACGCCTCGACGCCATGTGCCAGGTCGGCAAGTGCCGATCCATGTTGCATCACCATGTCGAGACACGGTTCCAGCTCTAACCCAGCTCCAGACTCGGCTGCCGATCGCGCCGGCCCATGTGCGCCAAGAATGCCCGCCGCCATAGCTTGGGTCAGCGGGAAAGCATTGGTATCAAAGCTGAAGTCTGCGATGCCTTCGAGGTACTCCTCCAGGTACGTCTCCTCCATCAGGGCCCGATACGACTCGGAATCTTCGCAGAGCAGCGGCTCCAGCGACAGGTCCACACCTTGCGCCACCTTTGCCGTCTTCCTCAGTCCAGCCCGAGCAGCCGCAAACACGTTCTCTTCAGCCATGTCGATGACCTAGCAGTGTGAGAGAGGATTGTTCGCTGCGGCGAGGTTGTCGCCGGACGGCGCCGCCTCGCGCACCTGAACGATCCTCTGTCCGGTCACGTCATGCACGCCGCCGCCGACAGTAACCAGTCGCACGCAGCCCAAGGCAAACGGCAGTAACAGCAGCAGCGGCCGTAGTAGTTGAAGAAAAAGCTCCATCGTCATCGACATCATGGTCATCATGGTCATCATGGTCATCACGGTCATCATGGTCATCACGGTCATCACGGCTATCATGGTCACCACGGTCATCATGGTCATCACGGCTATCATGGTCATCATGGTCATCACGGCTATCATGGTCACCATGGTCATCATGGTCATCACGGCTATCATGGTCATCACGGTCATCATGGTCATCACGGCTATCATGGTCATCACGGTCATCACGGCTATCATGGTCACCATGGTCATCATGGTCATCACGGCTATCATGGTCATCATGGTCATCACGGCTATCATGGTCATCATGGTCATCATGGTCATCACCTCCCCCCCCCTCGCCCCATCGCCACCATCATCGTCATCACCATCGCGGCCAACAAATCGCTCATGTCACGCACGCCGCCAGCGCCAACACCCACCGCACACACACACACTCTCTCTCTCTCCCTCCCTCCCTCCCTCCCACACTCACTCACCCATGGGAAACCTACTCGTAACCGCCCTCCTCCGCCTACGACCAGCAGCCCGCACCACCACACCCGCCGCTACCTCAACCCCCGCCTCTACCGCCGCCACACCCGCCGCCTCGTGCTCGGGCACGGACAACAGCTTCAAGTCGCAGCTGGCAGAGCTCCTCGCCATCTGCTTTCCATCGGTCTGGTGCCGACAGACAGCCATTTTGGCACTTCATTCATTGGCTTTGGTTATTCGGACTGGTCTCTCCATCGGTGTGGCTTCTTTGGACGGCGCGCTCGTCAAAACCATCGTCGACAAGAAGCTGAACAAGTTCATCGCTTTTCTCGTCGCCTGGATCGCTCTCGCTCTTCCGGCAACCTTTGTCAACTCGGCCATCCGCTTCCTCGAATCGAGCTTGGCTCTCTCGTTGAGGACCCGTCTGACCACAGAGCTGGTCTCGGCTTACACTGCAAATCCGAGCGCTGCTTCCGACCATGGCCCAGCTGGTGCCCATCCGTGCCATCGGACCTCGACAGTCCCTGCGTACTATGCTCTTGTCAACCTCGACTCGCGCATTGCAAACGCCGATCAGTGCCTCACCGAGGACGTGGCCAACTTTGCAGAGCACCTCGCGCATCTGTGGTCGCACCTCTCCAAGCCATGGCTTGACGTCGTCCTCGTCACCGCCCGCCTGGTGTTCATGGCCAAGGCGTCGATTGGCGCCGGCGGCGCCGCCGCCCGGCCGGCAGCTCTGGCTGCTGTAGTCATCGGCGCCACTGCTGTCATCCTCCGCACGCTCTCGCCACCGTTTGGCAAGCTGGTTGCCCGCCGCGCAGAGCTCGAGGGCGAGCTCCGCCACGCCCATGCCCGCATGGGTGCCGCCTCGGAGGAGATCGCCTTCTACGGCGGCCACGAGGTCGAGCGTTCGCACTTGTGGCGCGCCTACAAGGCTCTTGTTCGACAGCTCGACAAGTACCTCGTCGCCCGCGCCTGGTACGGTGTCATCGAGTCGTTCTTCATGAAGTACGTCTGGACCGCCACAGGCCTCACCATGATCGCCCTTCCAGCGTTTTACCAACCCGGCGGCCTCGCCCGCTCGGCTTCAGACAACACAGAGCTGTTCATGACTTCGCGCTCGCTCCTCACCACAGCCGCTGACGCCATCGAGCGCATCCTTGCTTCGCTCAAGGAAGTCTCCGCCCTCGCCGGCTACACCTCGCGTGTCGCCCAAATCCGTGCGGTCATTACTGACGTCGCCGCCGAACGCTACGTCAAGGCGTCGGCAAACGCAAACGCCGCCACCATCGACCTCGCTGCCCGGGGCCTCAAGCGCATCGGCACCCACTTTGAGCTCATCAACGTCCCGCTCGTCACCCCAGCTGGTGACGTCCTCGTCGACGCCCTCACCTTTCGCGTCGCTCCTGGCGAGCACCTGCTGGTCGCAGGGCCAAACGGCTGTGGCAAGTCCGCCTTGGTCCGCGTCCTCGCCGGCCTCTGGCCTCACTACGGCGGTGAGATGGTTGTCCCGCCCCGCGACGACGTCGTCTTTGTCCCCCAGGCCGCATACCTCTCGCGCGGCACTCTCCGCGACCAGATCCTCTACCCGCACACCGTCGACGACATGGCTGCCGCAGGCCGATCCGACGCCGAGCTCGAGGCCATCCTCGGCATTGTCCACCTCAAGCACATCCTCGGTCGTGAGGACGCCGGATGGGACACGGCGCGCGTGTGGCAGGACGTGCTCTCCGGTGGCGAGCGCCAGCGCCTTGCCCTCGCCCGCGTCTTCTACCACGCTCCACGATTTGCCGTCCTCGACGAGTGCACCTCGGCTGTCTCTGCAGACGTCGAGGGAGCCATCTATGCCGCCGCCAAGGACGCCGGCATCACCCTCATCACTGTCTCACACCGCCCCTCGCTCATCCAGTACCATGCCGCCTTGCTCACCTTTGACGGTGCAGGCGCCGCTGCCTACACCTCGCTTGTTGACGCCTCGGTTGCCCGCACTCTCCGTGAAGAGGCCGATCATCTCCGCGCACGCCTCGTCGACATCCCAGCCAAGCGCGCCCGCCTTCGCGAGCTCTGTACCGCCCTCGGCGAAGACTCGCTTGTCCTCGAGCCCACCACCGCGCGCGAGCGCTCGTTCATGGCCAGCGAGTAGCAGGGTGCTCTGCTCCTCATGTCAGTAAGTGTATGTTCAATGATAAGTCACAATCTCAAGCACGACCTTGGTCACATCCTCCATCTTGGTGGTAAACGCCATGCACGCCTTGTGCTTGTTAAGCCGTGCCGCGACCACATCGCGGTCCGAAAACAGCGCAGACTCGAGGAGCGACTCGACGTCAGACCGTGCTGCTTCCCGGATGGCCACCACGTATACTTCGCACACCGCCCGCCGCACCTCCCGCCAGTTGCGCGGCTCGGCATCGCACGCCTCCTCCGCCAGTCGCGCCAGCTGCACCAGCTCCGCGTTGCGGCTCGGCGGGCAAGTCGGAGAGTCGGCGAATGAAAACGCTGCGTCGATCACCTCTTGCGCGTGCTGCAGCGCCGCCGCCGCGTGCTCCGGCACACCGCCCTCGGCCTCGTCAATCTCAGACCCGTCGTCCGAGTCAGACTCATCGGCAGCCGCCGCCGCCGCCTCGGCAGACACGAGGTCGATGTACTTGACGCACCGCTGGAGGCTGGTCTTGAGCGACTGCGCCAGAAGCTCGTCGGCGACATCAAACACGTCGTCGTCGTCATCATCATCGCCATCCGATCCGCTGCCCGGCCCGGCCCGGCCGGCCTTGGCATCGCCAACCGCAACCAACGCACGCATACACGCAATGACCGCCGGCGCCACAGATGCGGCCGTCACGTTGATCTTGAGAAAGTTGTTGTCCTTGGTCTCGGTGAGTGCCTGCAACCGGCGAACAACCTCAGCCCGGGCGTGGTTAAAGGCGACAACGACTGCGTTCGATGACGCCGCCGCGCCGGTCGCCTGCTCAAAGTGCTTGCGTGCCTTGCGGACCGAGCCGCCGAGCGAAGTCACCTTTTCCATCAGCGCGTCGCGGCACGGAATGCCGCAGATTGCCAGCTTCGTGTCCTTGCTCTTAAAGTCTGCGCCCTTGCCACACACCACGCAGTACCCGTTCTTGCCGGCCGAGACTACCTCCACGCCCATGACCTTGGCCGCCACACCCTCGCCGTCGCCGGTCAAATACTCGACAGCCTTGTTGAGCGCATCGCGATATGCCTTGGCCACCACGTTCGACCGCTCGGTCACCACCATCGAGCTTCCCTGCCGCGCCAACCCGCTGTCGCCATTGGCAGTCGAAGCACCCGCCTCGTCGTCGTCGTCGTCGTCAGGCACAATCACAGCGCCCACGCACTGCAGAAGCGCCGTTCGTGCCAATACGTCGGGCACTAGCGTGTCGAGCGTCGACGGCAAGAGCAGGTTGATGACAGTCCCGCGGTCCGACGACACCAGCGGCACGTCCCACGACAGCACCCGGATCGGCGGCGGGAGTGAGAGCATCTGGAACAGCGCCCCATTCTCGGCAGACCGCACCTCGACCGTCGAGTAGCCAAAGCCGAGGATGTACGGCGGTGCGTAGAAGACCGCGCCCGGAATGACGTTCCACGACAGCGTAAACTTGCGCGACACCGTCCCGTCATAGTCGTACACGTACCCAGTATGGTCCGCCGTGATGAGCGCGTCGCGCTGCGAGAGCGGCGCAACCGCCGCGGCCTCCAGCTTGATCTTCTTCGACGACGACTCGAACCAGACGCTCGGCTCGGCCGCGCCCGACACCAGCCGCGCCGTTGGGTACCGGAGCGCCTTGGCCCCGGCCACCATCAGCAGCGCGTCGCGAGAGAGATGCAGCGCCTTGACAGACTTGGGCGCCGAAAACTTGGTTGTCTTGACAAACACGCTCGTGTCAAAGGTGTATAGAACCACAGACTTGCCCGCTGCAGTCACCAGGTACGTGGCCTCCGTCGCCGGCTTCTCGGCCGTGGCGTACACTTGGGTACCCTTGGTACCGCGGATCTTAACCATCTCCGGCGTGCCGACCGAGTCGAGGAACAGCATGTACATGGTGCCATTGGACGCAGACTGCCCGAGCAGGATCCGTTCTTCGGCGAGGAACGAGAGCCGGCAGAATGCGCGCTTGGAGAGGAGGACCACCGCATCCTTGACCTCCTTGGTCGGCGAGAGGACGTAGAGGCCCTTCTCAGTGGAGAAAAAGTGCTGCAGGCCGGTAGTGACCCACGCCAGGGCGAGGTGCTTAAAGTTGGAGACCAGCTTCTTGACATCATATGCCTTGACCTTGCTCAGTCGCGACGGCACCATGGCGCGCGGACCCGAAAAGTTCTCAGCCGCTGACGCCTTGCGCTTGCCATGCTTGCGCCGGAGCGTCAACGTCGCGCTGCCCTTGTCCTTGTCCTTGCCCTTGCCCTTGCCCTTGTCCTTGCCCTTGCCCTTGCCCTTACCCTTGCCGCTCTCACTCGCACCATCGCCATTGCTCTCGCTGGCGTCAGCCTTGGCCGGCGCAGTTTTGGACGCCGGGGGAGCGAGGCCCTTGCGGACGCCGGACATGGAGCCGCCAAACGACAGAATGGTGGTGGCGATGTCGTCGTCGGTACGCGGCTGGGTGAGCGATGCAAACTCCTTCTTGGTATCGACCACGACCGAGAAGATCGAGTCGAGCAGACCGCCGAGCGTCCGCTTCGACTTGTGCACAAAGGTCGGCGACGACGCAATGGCCGACCGCTGCGCGTTGAGTGCCTTTGTAAGGAGAACGTTGATAAAGTGCGCGTCGGCGTACCAGACTGACGACGGGAGCGGCGGGCCGAACGACGACATGCACGACTGGTGGACAACCGAGACTCGGTAGACGCCGCGGGTCTGGGCCGGCTGGACCACAATAAAGACGTGGAGGAATTGCGACTCGATGCAGTTGGGATTGAACGGTGTGTTCCCGTCCACAAAGACAAGGCAAACAATGTCATTGCCGATCTGCCGCTTCCGCTGCACCTCCTGCTCGGTCGCGCCGTGCGGAAGGAGTGTAGAGACATGGAACATGATATCGCAGCCGTGGATGTCGGCAAAGACCGAGTACTTCCCGGTCCCGTCCGCCTGCGCGTCGAGCCCACCGCGAAACCCATTCCAGCCCTGCAGCCGGACGTTGGTGCCGAGGAGCGAGAGAAAGTGCAGGAACGGGGCATCGGTCTCTGGCGACGCGTCGTTGGCAAACATGTCAAGCTCGGACGTCTGCCCATGCTTGACATACAGCAGTCCGATCTTGTACTCGCGCTCGACCTCGGTCTCCTCGATCTTAAGCAGCTCGGTTTGGAGCTGCGGGTTCGACGAGAGAAACATGCGCTTGCGGAGCTTGGTCAGCTCGGGCGCGCGCGCCTCGATGAGCCTCGTCAGTCCGCGCTTCAAGTTCTTGAGCTTTTTGCGGAGCGGGACAACCATCCGCTGGATTCCGGTCCTCGTCCACACAATCGCCCGCAGGAGCGGGAGCGATCGGCGGTACGACTCTTGCACCAGCGAGATGACTACGGTCCCGAGCTCGGCATCGTCCGACTGGCCGATAAAGTTGGCATGCTCAAGGCCCACAAAGTACGTGCGATACCACTGCTCCACAAGCTTGGGGTTCTGTAGCGTGGGCGGGACATCAAAGTCCACGGCGACCGAAGACTCGGGCTCCTCGACCGTCCACCCGCGCGCCGGTGCAATGAGCTGATCGGGTGCCGAGCCGGTGATGTGGTCGTGCCCGAGGCGCGGGCCAACCGGGACCCGCAGGACTTCACGCCCAAGCGCATGCTCGAGCGCCTCGCGCAAGAGCGCCACCCACCGGTCGCGCGACTCGGTCGAGTCGGCCACAAACCGCAAGTGGACCGACGACGTCGCCACCTCCCACATCTTGTCGGCCCACTTTTTCTTGGCCTTCTTGTCAGGTACCCCGTCGAGCGACTCGATCTTTTCGATCGATGCCACCTTGATGCTCTCCTCGGCCTCGGCAGTATCCGATGCCTTGCGGTACGTGAGCGTCGAGTGCGCGAGCCGGAGCCAGCGGTTGTTGTACTTCTTGAACTTTTCTCCGATCGCGCCACCTGGACGTAGCCCGAGAGTGAGATATAGATCGCCCGCGTCGCCGCCGGCGTCGGGCTCCCTGGTGCGTACTCGGGCTCCGGATGGGTCTGTGCTGTCCGTGGGGTGTGCGACAATGCCGCTGCCGACGCCGACGCCGAGTCGCCCTGGTCGGCCTGGTCGACCGAGTCGCCCGAGTCAGAGTTGGCTGCACTTGCGACGGCAACGGCAGCGGCGGCGGCAGCAGCGGTGGCGGTGGCGGTGGCGGCAGTCGCGGCAGTCGTGCTTGTGGCGTTGCTGGTCTGGGACGCTGACAGCGAGGCGGGATCAGCTCCTGAATCCGAGTCCGAGTCTGGCGTCGATGCCGCCACCGGTGCAGGCACAGGATCCCTGACCGAGCCCGAGTCCGAACTCGAGTTTGAGCCCGACCCCGAGTCGGACCCCGAGCCCGACCCCGAGTCGGACCCCGAGCCGGACCCCGAGTCGGACGATGAGTTGGCAAAGTCAGGGATGGAGACCGACGACGACTTGCGCTCCATAGGCGGGACGACGCGGGGCGGCACGGCCGACTTGGGCTTGACTGGGTGCGGGGCGCTTGCATCATCACTGTCCGATTCCGTAGAGGCAAGAAGGGCGTCGATGTTGTGCGAGGCTGATGGCTGGCCCGAGACCTCGACGAGCAGCGTCTCGACGTCGATGTCAAAGGCCGACGACTTTTTCGGAGCCGGCTTGGCCGGTGCAGGCTTGGACGCCTCCATGGACGTGAGAAGGTCGCCCCACTCGTCGTGGACGCTTGAATCCTTCCGTGATGCAGAGTCAGTCTTGGTTTTGGGAGCAGGCTCAGGATTCGGCACACGGGTGAGCTCGGCAACGAGGTCGTCCACCGCCGAGGCTGAGGACGCCGGCGCAGGTGCAGCCGCGGGTTCTGGTGCGCCCGCGGGCGCGGCGTCTTTCTCGGCCACAGCCTTGTCGGCGATGGCCTGCGCGTCGGCAAGAGCCTTTTCGCGGGCGGCGGCGCGCGCAGCCTTGCGAGCAGCCTTCTGCGCAGCAGCATCGTCGGCGGGCGAGGCCGCGTCAGGGGCTGCCGGCGGCGGCGCGGTGCTAGGTGGCGGCGGCGCGGTGGCGGGTGGCGGCGGCGCGGTGGCGGGTGGCGGCGGCCGTGCCGGCGGGCCATGCGGGCGGACGGCGTCAGCGAGCTCGGCCAGCTGGCTGCGCACGGCGTGAGCAGCCTCGTCGCTCTCGACGTCGTTGAGGAACGAGCGGCCGAGTCGGAGCAGGGCGCCGAGCGACTTTTGCACCGCCTTGGACACGTCTTTGAGCTCTTCAAGCAGCGGCATGACCTCCTTCTTGGTCACCGAACCGAGCGCGACCAGCGACTCGCGCACAGTCTGGGCCCGCTCGCCGGCCGGCGCGGCGAGCGCGGCAAGCAGTGCGTCGTGCTTAGCGGTAAAGTCGGTCATGACAGACAAAGAAATCGGCTTGTCAGGCTCGGCAGGTGCCTCTGCCACAGGCGCAGGCGCCGCCACCGCCGGACTGGCCGCCACACCTGCTGGAGAAGACTTGGCGGCAGGCGGCGCCGCAGCCGGCGGCGGCGGACGAGACGAAGGGATGCGGTTGCCGCCGGCGAGCATGCGAGTCTGCTCCACAAGCGAGATCTCGCTCGCAGAGCGGTTGTCGACGTCGCCCGAGGCCGAGACCAGGATCTCGATGGCTGCGTCCATGTTGGTGTCGCCGGCGTCGCGCAGCTCGGTGGCACGGTCGAGCGGAGAAGTACCCTCAACGTTGCAGAGCTGTAGGTCGGCGCCAGCATCGCGAAGAACGCGCAGTGCGTCCACGTGGCCGGCCTCAAGCGCCAGAAACGCCGGCGACTTGCGCTCCGACACAGTACGCAGGTTGAGGTCGGCGGCGGAGCCAATGAGCGCCACTACCACGTCAACGAAACCTTTAGCCGCCGCCCGGTGCAGCGCGCTCTCTCCAAACTGAGTTACCGCATTAACTCGCGCACCCGCCTCGATCAGCCGCCTCACCATCCCCGCCTGCCCACTCGCAGCCGCCTTGATCAGCGGGCTCCATCCGAGCTCATCGGCGGAGTTGACCTTGGCACCTGCCGCGAGCAGAGCGTCAGCAACCGCGACATCGCCAGCCGCCGCCGCCATGAACAACGGACTCCATCCATTGTCATCCACAGCATGGACTGTATCAGGCGCAGCAGCAAGAAGAAGTACCACAAAGTCAACTGAGGGCAAGCCAGCCGCCACATGAAGCGGTGTGGCCCCTGCTGTGTTGGTCGCGTCAGCAGCTGCTCCTCCTTCCAGCACAGCCTCTAGCACATCATCATGTCCAGACTCGACAGCAAGGTGGGCGAGGTACTTGCCTGAGGCGAGGACCGAGGGAAGGACGGACGGTGGGAGGGGAAGGGGTTCGGTGTGAGTGTGGACGTGGCCGTGTTCAGAAAAAGGTCGTTCATTTGGGCGGGAGGAGGTAAGGGGGGTGGGGGGGGAGGGAGGTACCGACGACGTCAACGTCTGTGGGTATGGGGAAGGACAGAAGCGGGGGAAGGAAGAAGAACATACCAGAGTATGCCTTCTTAGCAAGGCGTGGCTTTGTGGAAAGTAGGTCATTGATGACCGAGACGTCACCAGAGCTCACAGCGGCAAGAAGCCGTCCGCTGGCCATGTCTCCTGCTAGTCGACTCGGGGCAGTCAGTCAGTCTCTCTCGGTCGGTCTCTCTCAATCTCTCTGCTGTCTGCGCGCGCTCTTTCACCTCTTTTTCCCTCTTTTGGCTGGAAAGTGGAGTGCTATGCTGTGTTTGTCAAAAACTGAAAAGAGCCATTCATTCGACAGTGGAAGCACAATTTCGAGTGTCATTTGGAGGACGGCGAGGCTGGTAGGGAAGGAAGGGAGGGGGAGGCAAGGTATCAGCATGCAATCGAGTCGATGTCGTGGTGTAGCAAGGTGGATGCCATGTCTATCGGGATGAATGTGCGTTGAGCATGGTGCTGCGAGAGAGGAAAGCAAAGATGGTGACATAGGAAACATAACCCTACATTTTAGCTTGCTTTGATCATGCGATCTCATCTCTCCGACAGTTCCCCCTTGCTTGCACCCGTTCTTCAACCGTCCTTAACCGCGCTTTACTACCAGGAGCTCTTATTGACGTCCAACTGCATATGCCGATCTCAGTGTTACTGCTGCCCACATGCGCTCAATCGAGCTCCACAACCTTCTCTCAGCCTCCGCCACCAAGATCAATCACAGTCCCCGTCGATCCCCTCCCCTCCCTCCCCCATTTCCCTCTCCTTATCTTTCCTCTGACCAACACTCAAAATCGTATCCGCAGGTAGCTCACGTGCTCTGTCCACAGTCACCATCATCGACTCTCTCTCTGCCGAAATCGGGGCACCAACATCCCGATCGAGCTAATACTCAGCCGGCGAGGTTGACCGCGATCAGGCTCATGATCACGATCACAACCAATGCGACCCAAGTCGCCCAACCGACGGGCACCACCACCACCCACCACGACGACGACCATGAGCGCCCTTTGCTCGAGCCACACTCCTCTCAGTTTGGGTACGAGAAGGAGTCCACCTCCCCTTTGCCTCTCCCCTCTTCCCTCCCCCAAGCTCTCCCCCTACCCCCCCTACCCCCCCCCCCCTCCCCCAGCTCCCCCAGCTCCCCCCTCTTCCCACCATGTCGTCGTCCCACGGCGCACCACCGGCCGCATCTCACCCGCGGGCACCGACGCACGGACACGGGCAACCGCCACCATCAAATGGAACGAACGGAACGAACGAAACCAATGGAACGAACTCGTCGAACGTTGCTGGTGATCATCATCGGCGTGATCGCCACCACGATGGGTATGGGAGGAACAGCAGAGGTCGGACGAGGTCGAGGTCGCGGTCGAGAGAGCGGTCGCCATGGAAGCAGCAAGGACAGAGACAGGGTGAGCGAAACCGGAATCATGGCTATGACCGGCGGTCCGGTGATCGTGGGCATTCGCGAGACAACCGCGGATACGGCGACCGAGGGTATGGCGACCGAGGGTACGGCGACCGTGGGTACGGCAACCGCGATCGCGGGTACGGAGATCGCGGGTACGGCGATCGTGGGTACGGCGATCGTGGATACGGCGATCGTGGATACGGCGATCGTGGATACGATCGGCGCGGGTACGACCGGCGCGAGCCGCAGCGGGGCTCGCGGTCGCGGAGAAGCCGGCACTCGCGTGGCTCGGCATCGCGGGCAGACGACCACGGCCCGCCGCGGGCCAAGGGAGAGGATCCTGCGACGGCAGCGGAGCGCGATGCGCGAACGCTGTTTGTGTACAACCTGGCGCGCGAGACGACCGAGGTTCACCTGGCCGACTTTTTTGCACGCGTTGGCGAGGTTGTCGCTGCCACGCTAGTTCTTGACCGCGCCACGGGCAGGACCAAGGGCGTGGCGTATGTGGAGATGGCGTCGCTGGAGGCGATGCGGGCCGCGTTTTCGCTCAGCAACGTCCCGCTCAACGGGCGGCCGATGATGATGCGGCCGTCACTGGCCGGCGGCAACCAGGGCCCACCACCGGTCCTTCCAGTAGGCCGTGGCCCGCATGTGCGAGGCCCGCCGCCTGGGCACGTCCCACCGCCTGGGCACGTCCCGCCGCCTGGGCACGTCCCGCCGCCTGGTCGCGGCCCGCCGCCTGGTCGCGGCCCGCCGCCTGGTCGCGGCCCGCCGCCGACTGCGCCCATCATTCCGGTGAGCGAGGCTGTGGTTGACAGCCTCGACGGCGAGCCGCGCGGATTGATCCGTGGGGCAGCGTCGCGCAAGGCGCTTATCTCGGCCCTGGCCTCGTCGCGCGGCATTGCGCTCGACGAGCTGTCGTCGAGCTCGGCGTCGGCGCCTGCGCCAGCAGCGGTGGTCACCGCGACTGCTGCCGCACCCCCTGTTGGTGCCACCAAGGTCGCGGCGTCGGACTGCATCCGGCTTGCCAACATGTTTGAGCCACAGACAACCGCAGACCCCGAGTTTGAGGCCGAGCTCCGCGATGACGTTGTCGACGAGCTCTCGCAGCATGCAACCGTCAAGCACTCGTTTGTCGACCTCGCCGCGGGATACATCTACGCCAAGCTCAGCTCTGTGGCCGAGGCCGAGGCTGCACTCGCCCGTGTCGACGGTCGCAAGTTTGACGGCCGCCTTGTCGCCGCCCACTTTATCGACCGCGTCGTGTACGACACAAAGTTTGGCCTTGCCTAGCCGCGGCGCCTAGCTGACCTTGGCCTTGCCGCCGCTCTCACCTCGTAGAGCCTTGATCAGCCCACGGGTAATCGGAACTGTCCACACTGCCGAAAGCACAAGCAGCAGCGCCATCGAGAGGAAGCCGAACCAGGCCTGGACCGCGGGCACGCCGTCGAGCTCGGGCGTGCCGCTTATGATGTCGACCGCAACACCGTAGCTGAGCACGGAGAACAGGACCAGGCGGAGCGCAATTTGCGTCACCCACAGCAAGATGCCGGTAAACGTGAGGAAGAGCCCAGAGTTGACACCCAGCTCCTTGCACAGCAGCACAATGTTGAGAAAGTACGCGTTGATCTCGCAGAGGCCCGCCGCGAGGCAGAGTGGATGAGCCTTCCCCGACGCCAGCGCCATGCCGTACGACGCGATGGAGATGAGGTGATGCACGGCCAGCTGGAGCTTGGCAGTTTGAGGCAAATCCTTCATCGCTACCACACCTGCATGCACAATCGTCGAGCTGAGGTAGAGGATCAAGTACGCGTCCGATGCGTGCGAGCGAGCGTGCCATCTGGCCTTGACCGCCTCCTCCCAGCTGCTCCTCTCCCACCCGAGGCCGATGACACACTGGATGACCAGCATCGGGATGAACACCATGTGATACAACAGATCTGCCAGCATCCACTCGTTGCCATCCTTTCGTTTGGCTTGAGAATGCCTATCGCCGCCGCCGCCGCCTCTCCCATCACCGTGCCCGTCACCGTGCCCATCATCGTCTCCCCGCCACGCTGCACGCACCCGCTTGGCCGCCACCCAGCTCACACCATACCCCGCCGCACACGCACCGACCGTCCGCCACACCCTTCCCACAGGAAATTGCTCGTAGTCAAAGTGCTCCATCCCCATCACCGCACTCACATCTGCAAGCACACCCATCGCTCACCACGGCGTGACTCGTGCGAGTCGAGTCGAGTCGAGTGCTTTGTTTGTCACCGCCGCTTGCTGCCGCCCGCCGCCGCCCCTCGCCGCCGCCCGCAAGCCGCCGTCCCGATGGCAGCGGCACGATCTTTGTTTTTCTCGTTTCTACGAATAGACATGACGAGATGCAATGCGATGATCAAGGGCACGTCTGCTAGGGATCCTCTGCTGCAGTCCTGGCTCTAAAGGGGGAGGAGGCACTGGCCGACAGACCATCCCTCACAGCCACGGCCTTGGCTTGCATTTGTTGATTACCATCCAAAGATGTCTTGCTTGGTCGACTTCTTCTTCTTCTTCTTCTTCTTCGTCGACGTTTCCTGGCTCGACCCGATGTCACTCGAGCCGGACTCGTCGCCGTCGGACTCGACGTCGTATCGGGTTGTCGACTCGTCCATCGACTCGTCCGAGTCGTACTCATCCGAAGACGAGGTGCGGCGCCAAAACGCCCGCTTCTTTTTCTTTTCCTCGTCTTCCTGGCCTTGTTCGAGCCGCTACCGCGACGGCGACTGCTGCCATGACGGTGCTGCGACGCCACCGAGCTAAAGACGTTGATCCGTTGGCCGGCCTCGAATGCGTTCAGTTCCTCGACCTTGGACTCGTCCACAACCTCGGTCTCACGCTCGGCGATGAGGACGGTCTGCAGGTCGCGGGCCGAGAGCTGAGTGAGAAGCATAAAGCCGTACCACAGGTTGTGGGTCATAATGACCCGGTAAGCAAAGAACGAGCGGAAAGTCTCAAGCGAGTTCCACTCGATGTTGTCGAGCCGGCCGTCGGCGCCGGCAAAGACCACGCGGAGGACGCCGATGAGCCGCTCGTGCGGGACGTTGACGATCGACGCCACGTTGTTGAGGAAACCGGCGTACGCCAGAATCTGCGAGAACGACCAGTCGATGACCTCGCGCTCGACGGTAAACTGCAACTGCGAGAGCTTGACAAACAGCGCCGCAAGCGCAATGATAAACAGGATCGCCTGCAGAAAGCCAAAGAGCATGAAGAGCACCGTCGCCTCCACCGTTGAGAGCTCTGTCCATCGCCGCCGCCGCACCAGCGGGTTTGGCTCACCACGCCGCAGCTTCTTGGCCACGTACCGAGAGACAGCCCGTGCCTGCCGCGGCAGATCCTTGAGCTTTTGCAACGACGGCATAAACTGCAGCAGCGACATCGAGGCAATAAGCGACGTCGTCGTCACCAGGTTCTTGGCGGCAGACCCTGCGCGATCCTTAAAGTCCGCCTTCTCCTGCACAACCTTGCCGGCCACCACCTCGACGCCGCCCAGCGCCTCAAACCGCGCGTCTTCCGACTCGCTCTCCGCCGCCTGGTCCGCAACCTTGAACAGCGAGTACACCAGATCGACGACAAGAACAATAAACGCCACAAACAGCGCACTCATGATCCCCAGCTCGGCGTACACAGAAATCGTCCGTGAGAGCGAGACAGAGCTCGACTGCGCCCCAGACTCAGTGCCCTTGTTCCGGAACACCTGGTCGTAAAAGTTGGAGATAACCGCCGAGACGTTGAGCAAGAACCGGATAGCAAGCAGAATGAGCGAGATCCACTTGGACGCCGACATCTTGAGCCTTCGGATCTCCACCGCCTGCGTTGCAACATCGTTGATTGCGATGCGCGACAAATGCTCCCGCATCTCCTGCCGCGACAGGTCACTGCCAACCCGACGCCCAATTGCCGCCATCCCCGATGTGGCCGGTGTGTCAGAAAATATTTGCCCGCCTCCACCCCCCACCCTCCACCCCTCCCGTCTCGCCGTTCTCAACCTGTTCCGCCGCACACCCGCCAACTGACGGCGCCTCACCAAGCCCCTTCCCCTCTTCCTCGTCTCGCACGTTCAACCTTTACACAACATACGAATCCGACGGCTCATATGACTCGTACGACTCTGTGGTCGTCCTCGTCGTGGTCCCTGTCGCACTCGCTGGCTGAGTCGACTCGGAGTGGGTGGACATGACGGCAGTCGAGCGAGAGGTGGTTGAGCCTCCCCCGCCAGGTCAAGCAGCCAGAACGGGACCGCGATACTGCTTTGATGTGCCTGCACCAAGGATGCTTGTGTCAAAAACACTCTTACATGCACACGTTTATCTACAGCGTGTGCCCATCGCACGTAGTCTCCATACCCACGAGGTGTGACTAGCAGTTCCTTTTTTCCTCGCCGAAACATAAAAAACCCCTCACCAACTCACTCTGTGTGCCGAGGCTCGTCATCACGGCTATTCAGCTCCCTTCAATCCTACCTCGGAAGATCATCCATAAGCAGGAGCTACACGTAGATGACCGTCGTCATGTCGGCAACGTCAGCGGCAAAGGCCGTGGTGTCGCGGAGCGAGTTGCCTTCGAGCGAGAGCGTGGCGAGGGTGTTGTTGCGGGAGAGCGCGTCGAGAACGTACCGGAGGCCCGAGTCGGTGATCGAGTTGCCGTCGAGGACGAGGTTGTGGAGGAACTTGTTGTTGGAGAACGCGGCCGGGAGGAGGACGAGACCCTTGTCGCCGACCTTGGATCGGGCCATCGAGAGGGTGAGCAGGCCACGGTTGGCCTGCAGGGCGCGGCACATGTGCTCCAGCCCGTGGTTGCCGTACGAGTTGCCGTCGAGGATGAGGACCTTGAGTGTGGCGTTGCGCTCGAGCGAGCCAGCGAGGTCGTCAACGTCCGACGACTTCAGGCCATTGTTTGAGAGGTCGAGTCGCGCGAGGACCTTGTTCTTGGCAAGCGCGGCCTTGAGCGCGAGCTTGCCGGATCCGAGCTTGTTGTCTGCAAGGTTGAGGTCGGTGATGGTGGCGTTGCCCAGGATAGCCGCCGCGAGCGAAGACATCGACTTGGAGTCGAGGCCAGTGCCCGAGAGATCGAGCTGGACGAGGGAGCGCGAGGCCGGCAGGACGTCGAGGACCGCCAGCGGGCCACCCTTGCCGAACGAGGTGCCTGCAAAGTTGAGGCATGTCAGTTGCGTGTTGACGGCGAGGACCCGCCCAAACTCGGCAGAGACGTCTGCCGAGAGCTTGCACGCCCCAACGGCGATCGACCGGATCTTGACCGACGGCGCAAGGAGGTACATGGCGAGGTTCTTACCAACCTTGGATGAAAACTTGTTGTCCGACACGTCGAGGTGGACGAGCGAGGCCGAGAGCATGAGCCCGCCGAGCAGCGCATCGAGGCCCGAATCGGAGATCTTGTTCGACGAAAAGTCGAGCTCGGTCAGCGCCTGCGAGTGCTGGAGCATGGCCTTGAGCGGCTGGCCCCACCCGCGGTCGTCGGCGATCTTGTTGCGGGCGAGGACAAGACGCTCGAGCGTCCCGTGCCCGGCAAGAGCCTCAAACAGCGCCGTTGCGCCCTTGTGCGAGATGTCGCACCCGGCGAGAAGTAGGTCCGCGAGGAACGGAAGCTTGACTAGCGACGCTGCCAGTGCGATGACGCCCTTGTTCGACATCGATGCGTTGTCCGAGAGGTCGAGCGTCGCAGCCGCAGCCGCATGAGCGACGGCGACGTGAGAGCCGATCCGAGGTGCGGTGTCCCAACCTTGTCCACCGCATTCGAGCCGAGGAGCAGGTGCTCGACGTTGAAGTTCTCCACGAGCTCGCCCGACGCCGACTCGAAGCTGAACGTCTGTACCATGGCGGTCATGACGCCCTTGAGCGTGGCCGAGGTGAGGCCGGCCTGGTACAACTCAAGCGTCCCGATCCAGCGGTTGGTGTCGATGGCCAAGTCGGCGTCGTGCCAGAGCTTGACCACCGGCGCGAGGCCTTCGGTTCGGAAGACCTGCATGAGCATGTGCTTGAAGACCTCCAGCCGCGAGGGGAAGATCGACCAGGTCAGCTTGCGTCGCGCCGGCGGATTGAACACCGTCGGCGCCGGCAGCGCCTGCTCGTACGCGGCCCAGTCGACGTCGAGCTCGGCTTCGCGGGCCGCCCGCTCCTCACCAAGAAGCCCGCCGTGGAGCAAGAGCCGATAGTAGGCTGTGATGAGGCCAAGGATCGAGTCGACAACCGTGCGCGACGCGTGGAACGTGATTCGTTCCACCCCCGACTCGAGCACGTCGTCCTCGGCGCCGACTGTCCGACCCTGCGACTTACACTCGAGCTCAAACGAGGTGCCAGTCGGCGACGCCCGCCAGGCCACAAGCCGGGTGTACGGGATGAACCGCTCGAGCTCGGTCACCGCCGACGCGTTGGCCGAGCTTGAGCCAACCCGCGACCGCGACGGCACCAGCACAAAGAGGCCGTCCTCAGCCACGCCGATTTGCAGTGCCCGCCCGCGCTTGGAGCTCACCATGTACATGGTGAGACCAAACGACGGCAGCTGCCGCGCCACCTCGATAAACTGCGCTCGCGCCGCAGACTCGTCAGCAAACTTGCCTGCCAGCCGCTCGTGGAGCCGCGCCAACCGCATCTCGTAATACGACTTGGGCATGACCTTGATGAGCCACGGCGGGAGGAACTCGTCGAGCTCGATGTCGTCGAGGTACGAGACGGTGGTCTCGGTCGAGACAAAGTCACCAAACATGGCCTGGATGTGGTACGAGCCGAGGAGGAGCGTCTGGCCCTCGGACGCCTGCCACGTTCCGGCCACAAGATGGTGCTGGATCTGCTCGTACATGAGGGTAATCGCCTTGGGGTCCGTCAGCGTCCGCGGCTCCTTCCAGTACTTGACTTTGAGCGTGATCTTGGCCGCCGCCGGGTCGAGCCCGAGTGAACCGAGTCGTGCGGTCGGATCCAACCACCTGTCTGCCGACGAGTCGGCCGCGTCCACCAACTCGAACAGCGAGTGGTCGTACATCCCGATCCGCCGCGCAAACTCCTCCTTGAGCAACTGCACCGTCACGTTGGTCGTCACCTTGAGCGCCTTCTTTGTCCCCGACATGGTGAGGACAGAGACCACCAGCGACTCGCCACCCAGCTCCACAGAGTCCAGAAGTGAGTCCTTCTTGAGCAGCTCCTCGGGCGCAGGCGTCAGCGTCCGCGACGACGGCAAGCCGTCGTCGGAGATGTGCAAGACCGAGCGGACCCGCGCCCGGTTGGCATCCTTGCCGGTAGCCACCGCCTCGAGCACACCATCGCTCTCCTCTTTGCCCTTGCCGCTGCCCTCGGCCGCGCCGCCGGCACCAGTGTCCGACTCCGAGTCGGAGCCCGAGTCGGAGCGAGCCCCATCCACAACCGCTGGCGGCTGGGGCGCAGGGCTAGAGTCGGAGGCCGAGACAGAGTCGGAGCCTGCGCTGTTTGTGGTGGCCGACGGTGGTGCGGGCGGGGCGACGGCCGGGCGCTCCTTGCGGCGCTTCTGGAACTTCGGCCGCGACGTAGGCACCGGCGGAGGGACCGACGACGGCGCTTTCGGCGCATCATGATCCGAACCCGAGCTCAAGCCCGAGTCCGAGTCTGAGCCAGCCGACTCGTTTGCGTCCCCAGCTCCAGAAGCGGGAGGCGGAGCATCCGCGCTCTGGTCACCAGACTGGCTGATGCCACCAGAGGTCACAACCCCATCCTCTGCCGATGCGACATCAGGAGAGGCGGCAGAAACCTTGCCATTGCCCTTATCCCCAGCCTTGGCCTTGGTCTTGTCCTTGCTCTTGCCCTTGCTCTTGACAGGGCTCGCCTCCGAGCCATATTCCGACGACGAGAATGTGCCCGACATGTCTGACGAGTCCGAGTCTGACGACATTACTTTCTGTGAGAACGAGCTGCCGCAGTGTTTGTTCCCTTTCTTGCTTGCAGAATTGGGTGCACGGGTACGTAAGCGTGTCCCGTCTTTGTGAATGTACGGTGTGTATGTATGTATGTATGTATGTATGTATGTATGTGTGTGTGTGTGTGTGTGTGTGTGTGTGTGTGTGTGTGTGTGTGTGTGTGTGTGTGGAGGTGCGGGGGTCAACTCCGTCAGGCACCAACCGACACAGTCGACGGGGGGCAAAGAGAGAGAGAGAGAGAGAGGGAGAGAGAGAGAGGGAGAGGGGAATGTGGTGGCGTGTGTGTGCGGACAGAAGACCTATGTCTCTATGTGTGTGGGGTGTGTAGGGTTGGAGGGGAGGGAGGCAGGGAGGGAGGGACGGGTGGAGTGGTGCTCCAAGTGCTACTGTCCGCCCAGTGGTGGTGCTGTTGCTCTGCGGTGGCAGCGGCGGAACTTGCGCCATTTCAGCCACCATTTCAGCCACCATTTCAGCCACCATTTCAGCCACCATTTCATTACCGTTGCCTTTTTGTACCCTTCCCCCCCCCCCCCCCCTCCCCAATGCCGTTGTGGTGATGCCGAACGTGAGCATGTTACGAGGAATGTGATTTTGAAGAAAGTCATGGTGACCTGCCCTGCCCAACGTAGTTTGTGATAACCGTTGTGCACATAATCGTGGTCCGACAACTCTTCCCCCCCCCCCCCCCCCCCCCCACTCCGCCACCGCCACCCACCCCGCTGCACCCACCACCTTCCAGCCATGTCGTTCCGACTCCCTCCCCTCACCCCCTCACCCTCTGCCACAACACAGCCCACCTTTATCTCGTCGCTCCCGCCACACTCGGCTGTCTTTGTCCCGTCACAGTACTCGTCGGCACTATCACCATCACCACTATCACAGCCATCACCGCCATCACAGCCATCACCGCCATCACCGCCATCACCGCCATCACCGCCATCACAGCCATCACCGCAATCACCGCAATCACCGCAATCATCAGTATCTTCGTCATCACAACTCGCGTCGCTCTCTGCGGACTTTATCCGTGATGTTTCGCCCATTGCTGGTATTGGTTTGCGGGACTCATCGTCATCGTCTAAATCGTCATCGTCATCGTCATCGTCGACACCTCAATCTTCGGGCACTTCTTCTTTGGCGTACTCGGATGCGACGTCATCATCGTCGTCGTCACCGCCATCACCACGAGAAGGGATATCATCACCATCGCCGGTCTCGCGCGCGAGCTCACAAGTCGTCATTCCGGCGGTCATTCTGCCGTCGCACACTCCACCGCCACACGTACGAGCGCAGGGCTCGCGGACATGGTCGGCCGCCTCGCTCTCGACCAATAACTCGGCACCGCTTCCACGGGCCTCACACGTCTTTGGCATCCTCATCGCACTCGCGGCTGTCGCGATCTCGGTGGCCGTCACCGCCACGCTACTCTTTGGCGTCCTCCCGCTCTCGTCGGCCTCGCCCACTTCGACTTCGTCATTTGTCCGCCACCACGCGCTCTATTTTCTCGTCCAAGTGCCGCTCTTGCTCTTTGTCATCCATGGGTATATGGTTGTTACGTACTCTTTTGTCTTTGAAGGTCTCTACATCGAGCCCCTCCCGCTCCTCTTCCGCTTCTGCTCAACCTCGCTTCCGGCCGGCGTCCTCGCCCTCGTCACTACCGCGTCGCTCTTCGGCTTGCAGCCAGGACTTTTCATTGGTGTCATTGCTGTTATTGTCACCATCCAGCGATTCCTGGTCCAGTACACCTCGCTGTACACCCTCCGCGCCGCTCTCCTCACCCAGAACTTTGTCCGGCTCGGTGGACGCTACCTCGATCTACAGTGGATACTCCTGCTCCTCCCGCTCATCGCTCTTGTGTGCACCACCTACGTCTTTACTGCTGATGTCATCTTCCTGCCACTGTGGCAGTCGCTGGCTGTCTTCTTCTTCTTCTTTGTCCTCGTCGCCGCACACATGTTCCGCGTCGTCGTCATGCGCCCTCTCCAAGCCCGGCCCTTCATACTCTTTCCGCTCGCCATCCAGTCCGACGCCACTGCAGACGTCGGCTTTGCCTTTCTCCTGCCCTTTGCCACCTCGTGGGCACCCATTGCCACCCTTGTTGTCCTCCGCATCTCCTACATAACCCTTCTTATCTTCTTTGCCTTTACCTCCCGGGGCGCCAGCTGCCGCATGTGGATCCTGCAAACCCGTCGCGACCGCTCCGCCGCCGTCCACCTCTACCGCTCACCCGACGCCATGCTTGCCTTTCGCCAGCGCGTCGCCCACTACCTCATCTTCACTGTCCTCTCCTGGGTCATCTCCTCGGGCTCGTTTGCGCTCATCGCCTTTGCGCTCCGCAACTCGGCCAACTTTCCTTTCGCCTACCTCCCGCGCCCCCATCTCCACTCCTCGCTCGCCATCGCCGCCACCCTCACTGCCATTGCCGCTCTCGTCCTTGTTACGTTCCTCTCCGCACTTCCGCACCGCATTCTCGCAGACGTCGCCAACTCGCTTCGTCTCGGCTGGTACCTTGCTGCGCTCTCCTACCTCGTCTCCACCATCCTCATCCTTGTCCTCCTTCAGGCCCACTCGAAGCTCTGGTTCACCTTGCACGCCTCCAATCCCGGCGTTCTCGACCCCCTGGCCTCCTCGCCACTCATCCCGGGCCTCTAGCATCAGCAGGCACACTAGCCTTTACATCGTAAACGGAATGTTGAATAGCGCCTGCATCTCGCTCGCCATCTTGGTCGACAGCGCCATCGCCGCCTTTGACTTGATCTCCGGCTCGAGCGTGCTCGCCATCAGCGCCGCCATGCTCGCCTGCATCCCCGCCTGAAGCGCCCCAGAGAACGCCTGCGCCACCACCATCTTCTCCGCGTACGGCATGTCGGGATCCAGAAATGCAAGCGGGTGGTCCGGCGGCAGCGCACCTGGGTGGTCTGACCCAGCCGCCACCGCGGGCGCCGGCGCCAGCGCTGCAATCTGCGCCGCAGCCTGTGCATACGCCGCAGCCTGCGCCTCCCGCACGTTGGCCACCGTCTCGCTCACCTGCGACTCGACACTCGCCTTGACGCCCTTTGCCTCGGCTGCTATCTTGGCTTCGCGTTTGCGCTGCCGCTCGAGATCGGCTGCGCGCCGCGCCGCCTCGCGCTCCGCCCGCGCCGCCTCGCGCGCCGCCTTGGCCTCAGCCTTGGCTGCTGCCTTGGCCTCCCTCTCCCGCGTCGTGGTGTCGACGACGTCAAACTCGATTTCGGCCTTGAGCATCGGCATTGCGTCGATCTGCTTGCTCGCGTGGTAGTACAGCACCCGGTACCTGCCCTCGTCTAGCTTGAGTCGCAGGTTGCATCCGTTCCGGTCCGACACCAGCGCGGTACGGCTTGAAGACAGATCCTTGCGCTCCATCAGCTCGCCGGCCATGCTCCATACCTCAATCCAGTACCGCACTGTCGTCGTGATCGGATAAAAATGAACGTGGTTGTGCTCAAGCACCAACACCACAAGCGGCGGCCCTCTGCCCGACGGCGGCGTGACAGTGACAGACACGAGTTGCAGCATCCGATTCGCGCTCAGCGCGTTCTCGGCAGCCAGCGCCTCGGCCAGCCGCGCGTCATCGATTGCTAACGCAGACACCGGCTCGTGCGGCCCACGGCCTGTCGCCACCAACACTGCTACATTCCCGGCCACGCTTGCCTTGGCCACTCTCAGCGCGGGCACGAGGCCCACATTGATCTGCCGGAACAGAAGCGAGGACGTGGCGTGTGGAATCGCGACCGCTATATGTGTCGAGCCGGCACCAAAGACCGCACCATCGGCCGTCACCACCAGCGCGGCCCCGTCCGACGACGCTACCGCCACCACGCGCTGCGGCGGGTGTCCACGCGGCGTGCCTGGCGTATGCAGGGAGACCTTGGTCGGAAACTGCCTCGATCGCTGGACGCCGACCCCAACCATCCGCCGCGATCGGTGCGCAAACACGTACAGCTCGCCACTTGCAGACACCGCGGCGTTTTGCGAGACCGCCACAAACCGAGTCTCGATCGTCGCGGGCGTCACGTTGATCCGCGCCGGACGCTCGCTCCCGCGCCCCAGCACATACAAATTGCCACCTGCAGAGAGAAAGACACAGGCCTCGCACCCAATGGCCATGTCGGTCATCACCAGCGGCGCGAGTATGTCCAGCGCGACAGGCAGTGCAAACGCCTTGGTCTCTCGCGGGGCGCCGAGCTTGCACTGCTCATTCGAGCCCCATCCAAAGACCTCGCCTGTCGCACTCCGCGCCAGCGACGCCTTGTAGCCAGCCACGACCTGCACAATACGCAGCTTTTGGATGGCCTTGATGAGCTGTGGCGAGCTGCGCGGCAGATCGTCACCATGTCCAAGTCGCCCCATCCCACCCGAGCCCCACGAGAAGACCTTGCCAGACGCTGTGAGCGCTAGCGCATGGGTGGCATGGACAGACACAGACTGCTTCCACTCGCGGTCAAAGTCGTTGGCGCCGTGCGGCGCGACAGAAACTTGCACCACACCTTTGCCCGCCAGTCCCACCAGCGGCAGCGGAACATGGCTGTACAACACGTTGCACGACGCAAGAAGCACCGGATTGTCGCCCAGAATGTACACGCTGTTGACCTCGGGCCGGTTCTCGCTCCCCACCACAAACACCGCACCGCGATCAAACGCAGCCACGTCTACCACCGGCGCTCCGATGAGTCCAGCCACAAGCGATGGTGTCTTGAACGTAGTAAGATTCGACCGCGAGGAGCCTGTCGCAAACCACTCGCCCCACACCAGCGGGACCGCCGTAGGCACTCCAGTCTGCTCGTGGACAATGGGATTCGGCAGTACTACGTTCTCCACAGACGGCAGCGCCGGAGCACCATACTCAAGCGGGCCCTGCACAGCAGTAATCAGCGTTGACCGCAACAGGTCGCGCGGGAGACAGAGTGCCGGCGTCATATCCGACCGATGGCTGCTACTCCGCGACATGCGCTCACCGTTCGCAATGTCCATAAAGCAGTTGCTACACAGGCACCGCTCAAGCGGCGGCCGCGAAATCGAGGTCACAAACCCTACATGAGTCTGGATAGGCAGCTCGCATCGGATGCACTCGATGCTTGCCGCCGACGTCGCCAAAGGCGTCACCGCAAACGTGGTCGTCTCGAGGCCAAGGTCCGGGAGCACCGGCATGTGTGGAAGTTGGCTAAGCCTGTCCCCAATGCGCACGCCCGGAAAGGCATCCCTGTTGCTTGGCAACGACATCGAGCACATGTGGAAAAACATCCGATCCGGCTCCGCGCTCACGCACGCTTCACACATCACCGTGTGGCATGTACGCGCGTTGTCGTACTGCGAGTGAAGGGAGCTGATCGCAGTCCTGCACGCAAGAAAGGCCGCTCCACCCACAATGTGCTCTTCGCAACGCATGCACGTCATCTTGCCGTACGCTGAGCTGCCGCCCTCGTCGGAGCGGACGGTCGGCCCCAGGCCCCACACGAGTGACGACGGCGCGAGCTGCAGCGGCGGCACGCTCGGGAGCGGAATGGCAGTAAAGGTGTGCTCCGAGGTGTGCTCGCTGCCGCTCTCCACGCCAGCACCCTTGGCATGGCACGCTTCACAGAGATCAAAGTCTGCACACTCGCGACACTTGTACCGCGTCCCGGCCAAGTCGGTGATCCGGCACCCGTCGCACCGCACGTTGCTGTGCCTCAAAAGGGCGCCGCATTTTGCGGGTGCCTCTACGTACAGCACGTGGGTTGGATCATGCAGCGAGGCAACAGTGCACGCTTTGCAGAGCGCAGTCGACGGGCAGCTTGCGCACACGCCACGGAACTGCCCGATGAGCCGCTCGCATTGAGAGCAGAGCAGCGAATCGCATGCAATCTCAGCCAGGCGCACCAGCACCGGCCGCAAACTGCTGCCTGCCACATTGAGCAGCGTTTCACGAGTGCACGGCCCGCACACTGCGACACACGGTTGCGGCTCTCGAGCTTCGCATCCGTCGCACATTTCAAGTGCCGTCGGAAGCGTCTGCACCCGCATCAGGTTCGCGTTCACAGACGCGTCGACAGTGACACCGCAGGCGGTGGCCGCGCCCGCAGCAGCCAGCCCGCCTGCCGGCACCCGTGCATCGCCCGACAGCGCAAGCCAAATGGGAGGACCACGACCGCGGGTGGTGAACGCAACTTGGTGCGGCTGCCCGTCGCCGGCAAGCAGTGGCGCCAGATCAAGGTCAAACGCTGGCTCGACCTCGCCGTCCAGCGAAAACACAAACCGCTCGTTCGCCGCGTTGAATCCGATACCGATGACGGTGCCCACCGGCAGCGGGCAGGCTGCCAGCCGTGCTGAGGAGGCACCTGCGAGCCCCGCTACAGGCGAGATTAGCTTTCCGCCGATTAGGTCGATCCCGAATGATGCATCCACCTCACCCAGCGGATCGAAGAGGCCGTGGTTCCCGGGCGCGAGCCCAATTTGGAACTCGTGCGGTGTCGAGAGAAGGGTGAACTCGAGGTAAAACGAGGAGGCAGTCGACGCCATGTCTATCGACAACATCGCGCCTCCGACAGGACCGATCCGGTCACGGCCGTAGCCGTAAAACCGCGGCGAGAGCGCCATGAGCCGACCCGACATGACAAAGCCGCGCGAGTGGACAATCGGCACACCGCGGGAAGCAATCAACGACATAGCTGACATGCAATGACGGCAGAACGTCGAGAGAAAGCGGCCCGTCGAGCTGCATACCCCGCACTCCCCCGAGGCTGGCAGCTGCGGCGGAGGCACTAGTCTGTGCGGACCGGCGTGTGTAGCAGTGCTCAACGCATTAAGAACCGACGAGTGACCGGCAACCTCGAGAGGAAACCGGGCGAGGACATCGGTGGTCAAACCACGGGCATCGAGGTCAATGCCGGTGGCAGTTGATGCAAACGAGACCGCATCCCGCCATTGCTCCACTTGCACCGTGTTGGACGGCTTGCCTAGCTGGCGACGGACCTTGAGAACCCGGTCATCAGACCAGTCCGTGTCAGAAGGGCGGAAAAGGCCGAGCTCAGCTGCGACAGAGTAGGCGAGCGGATAGACGCGCCCTCGGAAGTGGCGGGTAAAATCGTCGCGGTCGCCCAGGAGAGGAAAAGAGCTCCAGAGCTTGCAGAACTGATTCGAGTACGCGGCAGCCAGGACCCTGTTGCCAGTGGCGTCGTTGAGTACGGTGAGCGCTTCAAAGATAAGAAGGCCGAGCGGATGTTGTGAAGCAACCGTGCCGAGCTCGAGCGCAGCGAGCGCAAGCGAGAGATGCCGGTCAGCGTCTTCGATGTGAGCAGCCTCCAGCTCGAGCACGCCATTGACGTAGTACGCGCCAACAACGACCTCGAGCGGCAGCGGCGGTGCACCCGGCGCCTCGACGCTTGCCAGGACCTGTGCTGCCAGCGCGGCATCGTTGTCAGCCAGCGCGGCGTCGAGCGCGGAGCCAAGCGCGAGTGGCGCCGACGCACTCAGCGACTCGACTGCGAGTCGGTGTCTCGCGCGGAGGCGGGCAATGAGCGCATCAGACGCGTCTTCGCTTGGAGGAGCTGTTGGCGCGGCGTCGTCGATGACCGGCGCAAAGTAGCGAGCCAGGTCCTTGGTCCGAAAGAGGCCCTCAGTGCGGACAGTGAGCGAGGTGGCGCGGCTGGCATCAAGAGGGTGCGGGACGTCAAAAAGGACGACTCGGACTGTGCGGCCGAGCGGACGGCAGGATCAAAGGCCACGCCTGTGAGCCGGGTAACGGTGTCAAAGAGCGCGAGCTTGGAGATCCGCGAGACGAGTGAGGTCTTTGGATCGGACTCGGATCCGGAGAGAATCGAGCCGTAGAGGCCAAATGAGATGTGCAAGCGGACCTTGATCTCCGAGGTCCAAAAGAACGTCGAGACCTCGGACGAGCCGAGAACGGTGTTGAGGTAGGTGACAGCAAGTGCGATGACTGCCCGCGGCGATGGGTCCAAACACTGGCGCATCTTGGTGTTGAGCGCACGCGCAGTGACAATGGCCACCATGTGTGTGAGAACGAGCGACGCGACTACCTCAGACTTGAGTGAGATGCGGACAAGGCCGAGGTAGCGCTCGGGAATGCCAAGATCTTCCATCCACTGGGTGATCTGGTGGCCTGAGACCGGGAGGACCGAGGCGCTTTCGAGGCGGGCGACAAACTCGGGCAGAACACTACCACGCAAGTGTGCGGTGGCGAGGCGGACATTTGCGTTGTAGACGGCGGCGTCTGCGCGGCCAAAGCCAGTAAACGCATCAGACGAGAGCGGCGACGCCGTGTATCCGGCCACTAGGTTGGCCGGGAGGTGGCGGTAGAGAACTGAACCGCGGAGGGCGACAAGGACGACGGCCGGGCCGCGGATGATGCCGTCGGCGAGTGCCGAAGCAACCTCGTTGACAGCACCAGCACCGGTGAAGCAAACAACAAGCTCGCCGGCAACCACCATGGAGACCGAGGCCGATGGCGCTGTCGAGGCCTGCGGCGAGAGGATGGCGAGGACCTCGGTGTTCCACGACGCGATGAGGACCTCAATGGTGGTGATGGATGCGTTAGCCTCGCGCCAAGGACCGGGAGGAATGAGCATGCCGACAGCGGTATCCGACGGCTCCTCTGGCGGGAAGACGCGCGCAGTGTCGAGGAGGTAGTACTTGCCGTCGCTCCCGCGGTGGCCCTCGATGTCGGCCGGGCCACAGATGGTGGTATACGGCGGGGCGCGACCGACAGGATGAGGCGCGAGATTGAGCAGCTCGGCCGCCGCCGCCATGATGGTGTTAAACACCGGATCATCGTCGTGGACAGTGATGGCGCCGTCGTCCGAGCCGTAGATAAGCGAGGCCGAGCCGTCGATTGGGAGCAGCGACGACGCAATGATGCGATGCCCGCGGTAGTCGAGGATGGTCATGAGCGGAAAGTGGAGGTCAGGCATGTCGAGGTGCAGGAAGGCCCGGAGGCCTTCGAGCTCGAGGCCGGCCGCGGCGATGGCAAACTGTGCGCCAGCGTAGATACCGTGCGAGTCGGTCGCAAACTTGAAGAACATCGACGCCACCACGTACTTTTCGCCACCGGCAACGCCGCCGGCTTCTGTCGCCGGCAGAATCCGCCGCGGCGCACCCTGCGGCAGCCCGGCCTCGTCCACAATGATCCGCGCAATGGCCTGCGCCGTCTCGGCAAACGTCGAGGTCAGCGCGTACAGACGCGCGGCGCGGACCAGCCGCTCATGCGGCGTCGCCACCGGCAGCTCCAGCAGCGTCTGGAACTCTGCGTTCCAGTCGCGGGACGCCATCTCTAGCAGATCATCTTCGAGTGGGTCCGCTACAGCCGTTCGAAGAACGGGGCGCTTGGTGCCGCCGCTCCGAGGCCAGTTGAGAATGGTTCGTTGTCGTACATCATGGGCTCGCCGAGTGTGTCGGCGTAGGCGGCGATCGGAGCCGGGGCAGATCCATTCGACCATGCAGGTGGTGGGCTGTCCGGCATGGGCTCGCCGAGTGTGTCGGCGTAGGCGGCGATTGGAGCCGGGGCAGATCCATTCGACCATGCAGGTGGTGGACCAAGCGCCGAGTACATCGATGCACCATCTTGTCCGTTAGGCGTCTGCCCAGGATGGGTAGCAAGAGCGATGGGTGTGGCTGGCCCGAGAGCAGCGTAGAGAAAAGTGGACGGTTCCAGAGGCGATCCATCCTCAGCAGTTGCAGCATACGCCATTTGAAGTTCCCGAGGAGCAGCATAACCTTGAGCAGCGTTTGGAAGAGCAGAAGCCAACCCCGATTCACCATCGCCCTCCATACCATTTGCCATCATGGTCAGCTGCATGACCTGCGGAGGGTGGACAGCTTCCAAAGCACATGCATACTGCGCCAGCACACTACCTTCTTCCACATCATGTCCAAGTCGCGGGAGGTGAAGAACGTTCCTCACTTGGTTCTCTCTCACACTTGCCATGGTTGTCAGGGTGTGAGGGAATGGATACGACTATGTTCCATAGAGAGAGTGCGGTGTCGCCTGGTCTCTCTCTCACACGGCCAAAGCGCCTTCGATCGGCACAGACTGCTGCTGCCGCTCGCCGGCTGACACATGCGCAGCAATACAGCGTCGTTGTGCTGTGCAGGGGGGCATTCGCATTCGGACGAGAGTATGGTGCGATGGACAGGAGGAGGGAGGGGGAGTGGGAGGGGGAGGGGGAGGGGGGGGAGGAATCGGATTATTGCGAGGGAGAAATCCGACTCGAGGGTCCCGGCTACGTAGCGCGCTTAGTCCAGAGGGGGGCATGGGCTTGGTCCAGTCGTCGTAGACGGGATCGGGCGATAGAGAGGGAGGCTGAGAGGGAGGCGAGGCGGGCCTGAAGGGCGACAAGCCCATCGGATGGCGCACAGCTCGAGTCGTTCGCCGCAGTGGCATCGTCGAGGCAGCCAGCAATTCCGGCGGCGATCGACGGTCGTGGCCAGCCAGGCGACGTCGTCATGGCGGCTCCGAGAGCGCGCTCGGCATCACTCACTGCCCAAAGTGCCCAGCTGCAGACGGCGGTGGCAGCAAGAAGAACCAGCAGGAGGGCCAGCGCCGCCCGTATTGCCGGCGATCCAAACACCGCTGCCCGCGCCCGGCCCTCGGCCGCATCAGCTGCAGCCTGAAGCCGGGCTCGGGGCGAGGCCAGACGCTGCGGCGATCGCGATCGCGACCGAGACCGAGACCGAGACCGCGACCGACGCCGCCGCGACCGCGACCGCGACCGGCCTCTTCGTGACCGCGACCGAGACCGCCGCTGGCTCGGCTCGCCCGGCGGTGCCAGCGACGTCGCCGACGTCGCCATGCTTTGGCGTGGCTGCGCCGCCGTGGCCACCATCTTTTGTAGATGCGCCAGCCAGGCCCCGTAATACTCTGCGGTGCGGGCGAGCGAGGCTTTGGCGATGACCCGCTTGAGCATGGTCGACTTGATCCACTTGAACTCTGAGGAGATGAAAAGAAAGCAGGCCGAGTCGGGCGCAGCCGGATCCGCCCAGCAGCAGTAGCGATTGAGGACGAGGAAGTAGTCTGCGTACGGCACGCCTGTTGATGCTGTCTCAGTCGCCACCACAAAGCGCACCGGGCCGGCGCCGCCATCTACGGAACGGACCACTGCAACCTGCTCCTCCACCAGGTGTGCCTCTTTGACACCCATCGGCGTCTTGACCACCTGATCAAAGACCAGCTCCCGTACATCAGTCGCATCGTCGGCACGATGTGACCACGGCGACTGCGACTCGATGCGATGTCCCAGCTCGGCGTAGAGCGAAGGGAGGAAGCTGCCACCTTCGGCAAAGACCAGCTCCCAGAGCCCAGACACACTCGTAGCCACGCGGACACGGTCCACATACGTATGTTCCAAGTGTGCCCCGTCTCCACACCCGCACTCCATCCCTAAGCCCTCGGGACCAGGCGGCACGAGTCGGGTGTGCCGCAGCACCGGATCGAGGCCGACTCGCTGCCCGTCGCGCTCCGCACACCACAACGCGCCTCCAGGCTGCGCCACGGATTAGAGGCAATATACCGGAGGGTGGATATGCTGGCCGGGCAAAGTGTGGGGGGCCATGGTGGCAAAGGCCAAAATGATCATGTTTACAACTCACGATCTGCACGACTAGGCGAGGTTGAGCGTCTTGCGCAGGAGCTCCATGTTGGCGTTCTTGCCATGCGAGGCAGCAGCAATGCCGTTGGACGGACACGGCATGTCCGGGATGGTGAACACACCGCTGGCGATCGAGTCGGTGAAGCCCGAGAAGGAGATGACGACGTCAAGCGAGTTGGTCGTCGCGTTGTACGTCTCAAGGGCAACCAGGGCGCCCGAGTCGATGGCAGTGTATGCCGAGTAGACCTGACCCTCGCCATGGGCGGACCAGATGTACGCGTTGGTGCCGTACCAGTTGCCGACGCCCACAAACTCCGCCTTGGCCAGCGCATCCTGGCCGATGACCGAGCCCGAGGTCGCCTGCTTGGAGCAGACCTGCTTGTTCTGCGTCGCGGGGAGATAGGCGAGGGTGGTCTGCGGCGAAGAGAACTTGCCCGACGAGTCAAAGTTCTCAAAAACAGACAAGACCATCGGCGGCATGACAATGTCCGTCCGCTGCATGCCCGTGGTGTAGTCGACATACATGGCTCCCGTAAAGTACGTCGCCGGCGCCACAAACATGTTGATGTGGGAGGTCCAGAGGTTGGGGAGGGTCGGCGGCTGCGGGTCGGCCGTCACTGCCACCGCCAGAGCAAAGGCAAGGGCAACAATGGCAACCTGCATAGTCTTGGCCATTCTCACGTTCAGAGTCGAGTGTGTACGTGTGCGTGTTCGTGTGCGTGTGCGTGTGCGTGTGACTGTCCAAACTGCCTTGGCTGTTTTATTCTGGCCAATGGCATGTGCAAGACCGACGGTGGCCAAAGGGCTCGTGTCGCACGTGTGCGGACAGTGTACGGAAAATGTAGTTTGCGGGGGAGGGGGGGGGGCAAGATGAGTTCAGGAAGAGCAGGTTGCACTCTGTGTTCATGGCTTGGTTGAGGACGGACAATGGGTTGTTGGTCGGCGGACAGGTGCTAGATTTGCGTCATCTCGTGGTCGGCGGACGGCGGGGTCTCGGATTCGGCGGTGCGCGCCGAGAGCGCCTTGGACGCGACGATGGCGACGACGGCGAGGGCGAGAAAGGCAAAGCAGACGGAGAGGGCAAGCGGAATGGCAAGCTTCGAGTTGCGCTCCTCCAGCCGTGAGGTAGCGACCTCGCGGTCGGCAGCCACAGGATCGATCGCGTTGGCCGGCGCGCCGGCGACAGTCATGACAAAGACCTCGGACACGTCGATGAGCTCCAGACTCACGGGCGCGGTCGAGATCATCGCGCCGCTGCGGCTCCAAACCGCATTGATCGAACCAAATCCGGCCACAACATCCCACACCGACTCGCCAAACACCGACGCCCACAGCCGGTCGTACGAGCCGACCGGCTCTGTCGCGTTGACCAGCTCGGGCATGTCAAGTCGGGACGCAAGGTCCAGCGGGCGGGACGCCGTCGCGTTGACGCGCGATGGAGTTGCCTCGAGATGGCAGAGCCACTCAATGTTGACGCATTCCGAATCGCTCGCCATCGGCCCAAAGTCGTCGTCGTCGTCGTCGACGCAAACCTGTTCTGTCGAGCATGTCATACCCATTGCGCTTGTCGGGTCCACACTCGCCGCTGCCCCATCCACTAGCGCGTTGCGCATCTCGGCTAGAACCGCCGTCCACCGCACTTCACCCGGTCGTGGATTCGCTGCCACGTAGCTGTCGGTGACGGCAAAGACTGGCCAGCCAAACACGACACTGCTCGGCAAGAGTGGGCTCGACTCTTGGGAAAGCCGGACGAGCTCGTGGGTGAGCTCGAGCCAGTGCCCGAGCACCACGTCGCAGTCGCCGCTGCTCACTGACGCCGGATTGAACGACGCAAGCGTGTCCATCGCTGCTCGGACCGATGACGTGATCAACGGATTGAGTGTAGGAGCTAGAGCAGCAATCACATCGACGTGCTCCGGCGGGACGCAGACCCGCGTCGCCCGCGCCAGCAGCTTCTCAGGCGTCACCAACTGCGTCGGCTTGGAGAGCCCGTTGCGAACGCCGACCGCCGTCAGGCCGTCGACAAGCAACGGCGCAGTCGCCGCCGCCGGCTTGGTCGCCAACGCCGAGCTCAGCTCTGACGCGAGGCCAAAGACAACGTCGGCGTCGGTCCGCAGCCCAAACCCGCCGACCACCACCATCGTCGGCTGGCCGAGGACTGCCCGGGCCAGCGCTGCACACATTTTGGCTCCACCGGCATGCACAACCCCGGACGTGTTCGACATCGCGCTGCCGATATCGTTAGTCACCAGATGGCAGACTAGGTGACCGCGCGCTCGGATGCGATGGACCGCAAAGGCGTCAACCACTCCGTTGACAGGTACCCGTCCTGAAAAGGCATCAAACGTGGCAGCAACTTCAGACGGTGTCCTTTGTGGCGATGCAGAGTGCGCGGCCACAGGCAGCTGGTCCGGCACGCTGGGCGTCGGCGATGGCGCAGCGCCCAAAGTGTCGTGGCCGCTGCCGAGCTGCAGTTCCCCGCCAATCATGACTCCGCCGAGAAAGGCAGTGACCAGCAAGAGCACGCCTGCCAGCACCAGTGGCAGGATCACAAGCCGTTGCCGCCGTGGCTTGGTCTCGTTCTTGGGCACCTTGACGGCATCAAATGTCTGGGTTGCCTGATGTGGCTCCGGCTCCGGCTCCGGCCGCTGCGGCGACGACCGGCCGGCTGCCACCACCCCAAGCCGCAGCACGCCATCATGCCTGCCGGGCGCCGCGAGTGAGAGTGCCGCCAACGGAATGCTGTCCATGCCACCGCTGTTGTACGGCATGTTCTTCGATGTCCAGCTTTGCAGCTCTGATGATGCGCCGACATCATCTAGCTCGATGCAGTCCGAGCTGACGTCCGAGCACGTTGCGGTGACTGACGGCGACGACGCAGGCGACTGCGCCTCCAGCACCGTCTGAACCCGTTCCAAGAATCCGAGTGCAGCTGCGTGCGGAAGCGGTGGCTTCGCCACGGTCGTCAGCCACAGGTACGCCGCAAACCCGGCATTGGGCGCCAGCCCTACCAAGTCGCTACCGGCGAGCCCGTGAATCGCGTGCAGCTCGCCAAGGACAAGCGACGACACTGGATGACCGCCGACAACCGCGGCAACCGTGGCATCTCGGACGCCATCCACGGCGAGCTCCGGCAGCTCATCTCCTATCGAGACCGAGGCCAGGAGCGCAGCAAGGAGCATCGGCTTATCGAGCACAGCCTCGAGAACACAGATGCCAAACGCGGCGCCGGGAGTGACCAGCAGCGGCCAGCCGCGCCGCTCGACCGCCGCGCCAACCGCAGCCACCGCCGTCGAGTTCAGCTTCTCGGCCGCCCACACCAGCGCAACTGCAAGATCAGCCGCGAGTGGCAAATCCAGTGACTCATCCGCGAGTGTCGACGGGAGATAGGCTCCGATGGCATGTGCAAGCTGAGGCGTCGAGCCAATGAGCTTGACGTGTGCAAGCTCGATCGTAGCACCCGTCCCAAGCGCATACTGGTGGAGAAACGGTGAGCCCGAGCCGGAGGACCACGAGCCCGGCGACGGCGCCGCAGTCGAGGTCGATGATGACCTTCGCTCGTGGTCGATGAGCAAGTGTCGCCGTCTTCGCGAGTGCGAGGTTGAGTCGTCCGATCCATCCGAGCTATGCGAGCCTGAGCCCGATGCTCGAGTCGTCCGTGTCCGCTTGCCACGTGCCACGTGCCAAAAGACCGAAAACGTGCGAGAATTGGACGCCAGCGTCGTCCCATCGGTCAGCACCGCAGTGATGGTGACCGGAATGTCGGCCGCGACGCGGGGAGCGCGAGACCGAGCGCAACTTGGGACACCTCGCCGACGTGCGACGCAAACCGTCGGGCCTGCTCGATCACCACAGACTGCGGAAGGAGGACCAGGACGTCAATCGACGAGGTGCGGACGACCACAGAAGATGTTGGATCCGCTTCTAGCTCGAACCGATGGGTGCCAAAGATGAGCTCGACTGAGCCGACTCTAGCCGAGTGGAGGCCAGTGAACGATGTCGAGACATGCAGCGGCGCGCGCCGATGGCCCACCCCGCCACAGACAACCCGCCACTGGCGAGCGTGCACATGTCTGGCTGTACCGTCGCAATCCGCAGTCGTGGTGGAGGAACGAGCGAGTTGCTCAGCTGCGGCGCGTATTGCGAGACCAGCGCATGCTGCATCGACGCCGCCAGCAACCCGTCGCCCGGCAACCCAAAGGCATCAGTAGACATGCCAAGCACGTCGTTGAGTGACCAGTCCATCTGGATCGTTGACAGGAGCGCAGGATCCAGAGATAACCCTGACATCGGCGCCAGCGCCGCCGCGGCGCCTACCGCTGGCCCGGCATGAGCCTGGGGGAGCCGGATGCGTGCGCGATCGAGCCGGACAATCGAATCCGAGTCACGGGAAACCGACCGGAGTGAGACCCAGGCCCCAAAGTCGGAGCAGTGGATGCGAGCACCGGCGACGGTGCCAGGAGCAAGCGTCGACATTCCGACTGTCTGCCCGAGGTCAGCGATGAGCGCCTCGAGCGAAGAGAACGACGCCAGGTTGCCGCGCCACATGTGCCATCCGTCGTCCTCGAGGTCGACTGCGCCAAGCGCGACAAGGACCACGTGATCGCCGGCCTCCGACAGATTCGGTGGCGAGACCGTCTCGGTCATGCTCGACGAACCTGGCGTCGACGCCGCGTGCGCCTCGGCAGCCGACGGGCCCGGGCCGGGCGAGCTTGCAGGCGACGGCTCTTCGATCCACTTGGACGCGAGGACGGTGTTGGAGAAGACGGCAAAGACATCTGACTCGGCAACTAGCCGCACGTCTGGCGCCACTACGGCGTCCAAGACCAACCGGACGTCATCGAGCGTGCCACGGATGACACCAAGCGAGGCACGTGCCGCCGACAAATCGATGATACCCTTGGAGAGAACAAGGGTGCCATCGCAGACCGCAATCCTGAGCTTGCGCAGTGCAAAGCGACGGCCCGAGATGAAGACCGAGACGGCAGAAGCTGGAGGTGGCTCGATCGTCGACTGGCCAGAGGCGCTGGTCAGCTGTGGTGGAAGGTCGACAAGCGCTCGCCAGCGTGAGGCAATGACGCAGCCCGGATGCATGGTGCCTCGGGTGGCGAAGCGTATGCGGCCACGCACCACCCGATTACCAGCTACAGCACTCATAACTGAGTTCTCCGAAGCTACACACGCACACACACCTTGCCTGTCCCTGGCCCCTTGGCTGGTTTCAGAAAGGTGTGCCCACCCGGGCCAATCTGCCAACTATGCCCGCGTACGGTGTCCAATCTTGCAAGCGCGTGCAAAGAACTCGGGTCACGGTGGAGGCCGCTGCCGGCGCAATCCATACCACGCTGTACAGGGTGGCCCACAGGCTACACCTTTTGCTTCATTTGGGGGGGAGGGGGGGGGGGGGGGGGGGGAAGGGTAAACATACCAGGAGGATGGAGTGTAGTTAATGGAGTCACGCCCTCGCATGTGAGCGACGACTCCAGATCACCGCCGTCATCGGTGGTGGCTAGCGCCAACCACGTGGGGTGAGCGGTTCCGCACTGCGGAACTCGATTGTGCCTTTTCGCACGGTAGTCCTCGCGCCGCATGTGCGGCGAGGTTGGCTGATGTGGAGATTGTGCGAGGGATAGTGTGGATGGCGTCAGTCATTGCCATACGGATTCGGGCTTGTGTCGATCGCGATTCGGACATGGCCGCCTACGACGGCGACGACGACGGCTTGCGGGCGACAAAAGACGAGAGCGGGCGACCGTCCGAGATGGCGACCGCCGAGTCGTCCCAGATCTCCCAGCCAGCAAAAGCAGCAGCAAGCTCGCCATCGCGGAGGAGAAACTTCTCCCGCTTCGGCTTGCCCCACGCTTTGCAGGCCCATGTAAAGGTGTGGACGATGACAAAGCCGCCGGGCGCTACTGCGTCAGCGACCCAGGCCCACAGCGGGCGATACAGGTATCGCGCCATGACGACAATGTCCAACGATGCGTTGCTGCCGCCAATTTCGGCGACCACGCGCTCGAGCTCGGCGCTGGCCTCGGCGATCGGAACTTCCTCTAACTCGACCAGCGTGGCAGTGGTCTTATGGGCGACGCCGTGCTGGTCAGCGAGGACCGCCACGTTGGCCATGTGACGCTCCTGGTGGTCGACGCCGATGCTGACATCGATTCCATCGTCCAGTGCCATAAAGACGACATCGCGCCCGGCGCCGCACGCTACGTCCAGCGCCACGCTCGTCCGCGTCCCATCGCGGCTGGCAGCCAGCGCAGCTACCATCGCCGGATAGTGCTTGGCGAGGACAGGGCACGGCTCCCACATCCGGGCCGAGCCCTGGACGCCGGTAACCATGCGGGCACCGATGCCCATCGCCGCCACCACCGCATCCAACGTCGCTACCACCACTAGCGGATACCATGGCGCGAGACGATCGACAATGGCGCCGGCGCCGATCACCACATCCTCCGGCGAGCCGTCCGGCGGAAGGATGACGCCGATGACCGTGTCTCGCGGAGGCAAAACATGCGCTAGCACATCGTACTCGTTCCATGGGACGCATGCTGCAATGGACAGGTGCCCAGTCTCGTACGCAGCTCGACTGCGGAGGTCGACCACGCGGACCGCGTCTTTGGTCGACCACTCGCACAGCGCTCGCGTGGCGGCCTCGGACACCTCGCCGCGGGGCGCAGACTCACCCATGCGTGAGCTCTCGCCCGGGCTTGTGCTGCCGCAGCAGCTCGAGGGAACTGACGTCGCCAGGATGGGCTGGAGTTGGCCAAGTGAGAGCCGTCTTGACGTGAGAGGTTGTAGAAGTGGGGCGGAGGCGGGATCCGCTAGGTGGGGCCGGACCGATGGAGGAGTGGGAACTTAGCCGATCATCGCCACACACAGCCGTAGGCTGTGTGTATATGTGTGTGTGTGTGTGGGGGGGGGGGGGGTCGTTTGTGTAGCATAGGATCAGCTGCGGTTGAGACGAGCCTGACGAAGCGCCTCCATCCGCTCGGCCATGGCCTTTTGCTTCTCCTGCATCTGCGAGGCATAGCGGGCTCGGACCGAGGCGGCTTCTTGGTTGGCGACAAAGTGTCCGCGGCGTAGGATCTCTTCATGACGTCCGCACACACTAGATTTGGGTGGTGTCGGTGTAGGCGTAGGCATTGAAGGCGTCGGCGCCGGTGCTGGCGCGGGCGTGGGTGCAGCAGTAGGTGTAGGGGCGGCAGGCGCGGGTGCAGGCGCGGTGGCGAATCGCGAAGACTTCAGTGTCTCCAGCAGTGCCTCGCGCTCGGCGCCCAGGCGGGCTAGCATCTCATCCAAAGTCTCCGACTCGGCTGGCTTGGGCGAGGTGGATGGAGCCGGGTGGGATCGGTCGCCCTGCTTCCGAGGATCAAACCGCATGGTCGGCGGCGAGAAGGCAGCCTGCGCCTTGCGAGCAGCGGCAAGCTCGCGCTCGAGAGCAGCCTTCTTGGCAGCCATCTCGGCGTCAAGCCGCGCCCGGCGGAGCGCAGCCTCGCGATCAGCAGCAGCGCGGCGCGCCATGGCGTAGATCATTCGCTGCTGGGCGTCATACTGACTGCGAAGCTGCTCATCCGAGAGAACAGAAAAGGCTTCTTGCAGCAGAGTAAATGCCTCATGGCTCCCGCCCTTGTCAGGATGGAGCGTCTTGGCCTTGGCCTTGTATGCCGTCCGAATGTCCGCAGCCGCTGCATCTTGCGCCACGCCCAGTACCGCGTAGTAGCTTGTCATCTGCCCCTCTCCCTCCTCTCGCCCCAGATAACCGCCTCAACCACTACAGACGAGGTAGCGACGTGTGTGTATGAGAGAGAGTGAGAGAGCGAGTGTATGTGTTTGTGTGGTTGTGTGTGTACGCTTGCTGCCCGTGATGTCAGTCGAACACTGGCCACAATGGAATGATCAAAAGCCATGCCAAGCACACCATTAGCGAGGCGAATCCCATGCCCCAACGATTATCATGCACTCATGCACAACACGATCATCCCAGACCCAGATCCCAAATCCCCCCCCTCCCCCCCCCCCCCCCCCGCCGCCCATCTTCCCCTCCTCCTCCCTCCCCCGTCGAGCAGGAGTTTGGTTTGGTTGACTCACGCCATGCCCCACGAAGGACACTCGTCAGACACGACTGACCTTTTTACCTGAAGATTGGGCAACACTTTGCTCGGCAGGCACTGGGCTTGACTGGCGTGGTGTGTGTAGCGAGGGTGTGGGGTGAGCATGATGAGCACAACAATACTGGCTACCTTTTCCACCACAGCCCTCTTGGCTACTCTCCTCTTTCCACATCTTAGCCAAGTCGTCGCTTTGGCCTCGGCTGCTGTGGTGGCTCTGCTTGCTGCCGTCGTCTTTCCGCGACTGACGTCGTCAGCCAAGTCATTGCCGAACCTCGACACAAGGTCACGGTCGGCTTTGGGAGGCAGTTCTGTGCCAGCGACAGGTCCTTCTGCTGCAGACACTCGGTCCTCCTCGCAAGGCTCAGTCTCCTTTCGTACGCCTGTAGGCACTGCCTCTCACTCGCCTGCCGCGTCGGTGACCGGACTCTCGGTGGCCGTCACGGCCCAGGCCGCATCAGACGCCGCCGATGCTGTGTATGGTGGCTCTGGGAGGCGGAGAAGGCGGAAAAGGCGGAAGGGCGATGGCGACGGTGATGCTGCCGACGGCGCCAAGGCTAAGGCCCGCGAGAAGGTCAAGGTCCGCAAGAAAATCCGCAAGCGGGTGCTGGCTGCAAACCAGGAGCAAGCTGTAGGCAAGGCCAAGGCCGCGGGACCCGAAGAGATTGAGGTTGATCCCAAGGACTTTTACTCGCCGTACGAGCTCCCGCTCAAGGTGACGAACTTGTACGGCACGCCGCGGCACATCGAGCCCAACACCCACTTTTCGATCCCGTACGCCAACGAGCTGTTTGAGGGCCACGTCTCGCTGGTCTTCCGTGGCGAGCCGCGCGATCCACACTTTGACTCGATCTACGACTCGTGGAAGACAGTGTTTGAGATCCAGCTGCAGGGCAAGCTCAAGGTCAAGACGAGGTCGACGCTGTACATGGGCATCGAAGCCATGGGTCCGGTCTCGATCGGCATCATCGGCCGCGCGCTGGGCAAGATCCTTCTCAAGCTCATTCGGTCACAGACACGCGGCATGGACGGCACGTTCAACGAGGGCGACGACCTCCGACCGCACATCTGCTTTCCCATGGCTATGTTTGCCGACCGCTTTGTGTGGACGCCCGAGGGCGAAACGCCACCTGCCATCGGCCAGTACCTTGACTGCGAGGACGACGAGTCGGCCAAGGCCCGTAAAAAGGCCGCAACCATGGACGACCGCTACGGGCCCGACTCGGGCATCCTCACCATGTCGTTCCGCTCGCCGCGCCTCGACATGGTCAACTGGAAGATCATCGACATCCCGGGCATGAAGGACATCAACTTTGCGCCATACCTCGCCGGCCTCGGCCTGCAGATTGTCGCCTACGACATGCCTCCCGACTGGACCGGCATTCACCTTGACTCGGCCAAACAGTACTACTTTTGCTTTACCATCGAGAACACTGGGACTGGCGTCCGTGCCCGCAAGTCATACCCGGCGTCGGTCCCGCCCGAGTATCTTTACCACCCGGGCGATCCACGCCTCGACGCCGCCCTCGCCTCGCCACGCGATTCCGAGTACGAGTACGAGTACGTCGAGACGTACGAGTACGATGAATTTGCTCGCGATGAGGACGAGCCTGGCTCAGGCTCGGGCTCGTCGTCGTTCTGGTCGTCAGGCGGCGGTGGGTCGCCGCATCGGTCTGCTCGCCGCCAGGCTGCCGACGACGACGACGACGATGATGATGATGATGACCTCGACGCCGACATGGACGACCCGTTTGAGGCATCGCTCTTCTCACCGGAGCTCACCACTACGCTCAAGACTCCGGGGGCGCGGTACTCGTCGATTTCGGTTCCTGCTCTCATCGAGTACTACCCGCACAACAAGCGGCGGGTGCTGTATGTGGTGCACGCAGTGCCGGCGGCATCGTCATCGGCGTCGGCGACTGCCCTTGCTAGCCCGCCGCCGCCGCTCACGCTCCCGATGTACTCGCCGCCACCATCAATTGCGATCTCGCCAGAGTCGGAAACTGGGCGAATGACCTATGCGTCGGCGTCCGACTCGTCAGATGCCGGCGCCAGCTCGGGGTCGGGCCACGCCGACCCACCAACGCCATCGCGGCCGACGCTGCCGTACGTCCGCGGGCGGTCAGGCTCGGCCGGCTCGCGGTCGGAAAGGGCGACAGGCGCTGGCGGTGCCGACGCTGCGTCGTCGGCCGACTCGTTCTCCAACTCCTCGGCTTGGACCGAGGTGGAGGAGATTGGCGAGGCCGCCGTACCGATCCGCAGCCAGGCGGACCCCGAAGGCCTGCGGGTCTCGCGGTCGGCGCGGTCGTTGACCTCGCTCAAGCGTGGCAGCAAGCGATCGTCATCGGGCTCGCGGTCGCAGTCACGGTCGCGGTCGCGGTCGCGGTCGCGGTCCGGCTCGAACTCGTCGCGATTGCCACCAACGACGCTTTCGGCCCGGCGGACCGAGACTTCGGGCTCCGAGTACTCATCGGGCTCGTGCAGCTCCAAGTACGAGGCACGCCGGGCAGTGGCGCGGGCGCCGCGGCGGCGGTCAGGCGAGAAAGGTCGGCGAGCTTCAGGCGGACCTTCGCGGTTTGTCGGCGTCTCGCTCTCACCGCTCGCCGGCGAGTACAATCGGTTCTCGGCCGTGGCTCCAGCAGTCTCGGGCGTCCGCCGCGTCCTGCGGACATACTCGGACATCCGCGACCTCGAGGCGCACTTTCGGTCGCACTCGATCTCGCGCAAGGGCCTCAAGAACCCTAAGGTTCGGCGGTACTCGCGGCTTGCCAAGGAGCGGTCGGCGCTTGACGCCTTTCTCTCCAACGTGGCGAGTGCGCGGTCGCCGGCGGCGCAGCAGCTACTTGCGCTCTTTCTCACCGACACGGTCTCGGGTGACGCGCGGTTCTTCCTCTCGGGCGCGCATGAGCGCGACGCGGCCGACCTCTCGACCCAAGTCAAGTTCCACACCTCGGCTGTCCGCGCACTAGACGAGACGTACTGGCGCGAGGAGACGGCGCTGCTGTACTCGGACAACCTCTCGTTTTGTCAGTTTAAGCGCAAAGCGCGGCTGCACAAGAGGCAGAGAGTGCAAGAGGAGGTGACTGCCATCATTGCGCTTGACGACGTGCTCTCTGTCGGCCCGCTGGAGGACTCGAACACTCCGTTTGACGGCTTTGTCTTTGTCAAGATTGTGACACTCGAGCGAGTCCACTACGTGTGCGTGGCGTCGGAGGAGGTGGCGGCGGCGTTTGTGGCCGCCATCTCGGCGGCGTGCCATAAGCTGCGGGCGTCGCGGCGGGCGCTGTCATCGGCAGTGACGCAAGTCCGAGCGTCAAGCGCAGGCAGCCAGCAGGCGGTGTACGTTTACAGTGTGCCGCGGTTCAAGTCGCGGCTGCTGCTCAATGGCCGGCGGCTGCTGTTCAATCCATTTGCGCCGTCGATGGCGTCGGCCGTTGCCCCATGGGAGGTTATCGGCGAGCTGCTGCGTGAGGGCACCATGCTCCGTGGGAGCGACGTGCACTCGGTCAAGGTCAACGCCTTTCTCGACGCCACTGTCGAGCTGAAGCGGCTGCGGATGGACGAGCAGGTGTGGAACCACAACCAAAAGGTGGCGTTCTTCCTCAATGCCTTCCATCTCCTTGTCGTCCATGCGCTCATCGTCCTCGGGACACCGTCGTCCAAGAAGGAGGCGCGCCAGCTCTACACCGACTACTCGTACCAGCTCGGCGAGTACGTGCTCTCGGCGGCTGAGATCGAGCACGCCATTCTCCGGGCGCCGGCGACCAAGCACCCGGCGCGGCTGCAGAAGACCCGGGCACGGGTCTCCAAGCTCAAAAAGCTGCGGTCAAAGGACCCCGTGCCGCGGTTCGAGGAATCTGATCCGCGGGCTAAGTTTGTGCTCGACCGCGTCGACTGGCGCCTCAACTTTGCCATCATCTCGGGCTCGCTTGGCTCGGTCATGACCTTCCCGGTCTACCATCCGGACCACGTCGACTCGCAGCTCAACTCGGCGACCTCGGCGTACCTCAATGCGTTCACTTCGGTCTCGGAGACAACCGCCGTCGTCACCCTTCCCAACCAGTGCGCCAAGCTCATCCCGCACCTTGGCGCCACCCACCTTGCAGTCCTCCGCCGCCTCGAGCCGTTCTACCGTGGCTCGCTCGCCGCCGCCCTCCAGCGCGTCCTCGACTCTCGCGACAAGAACGTCTCGATTCATTTTGCCGAGCCCGAAAAGGGCGAGAAGCTAAGGTTCCACGCCGCGTTCTCCATCGCCTAGCGGGGCCAAGTTCTTTCCTGCTCCTACTCATCTCCTTTCCCATCCCCTTTGCTGCCCCTATCAAAGACATACTCGCGTTGCTCCTTCCGCAGCACTTGTCTCCGGCAGACGTTTGTGATCGGCATCATGTCGGCAGCGATAAGCGTCAAGTCGCGCTTCGGGAGCAATGCCGAGGCCACACACCCGCCGATTGTGCACTTTACCCGGTACTACGCCCACGCCCGCGATCGGTCGCAGCGGAGCTCCGAGCGCCAGTTTCCGGGCGTGCATAACGCGCTGCTCTCCACCGTGTCGCCCGATGGCTTTCCGGACGCGCGGACCGTCTCACTCCACGAGTACTCTGACGATGGCTTTGTCTTTTGCACCGCCCGTGGCTCGCCCAAAGCCCGTCAGCTTCTCGCGAGCGGGACGGCGGCACTGACGTTCCTTTGGCCGCCGTCGCAATCGCAGGTGAGGATTATGGGCCGGGTGACCGAGCAATCGCGCGAGGCGACGCTCGCGCTGTTTGACGCGTGCACGCCCCGCGAGCAGGCCTACTACGTCCGTACCGGCAGCGGCGGCCAGTTCGGCCAGTCTCAAGTCGTGGCGGTGGTGGAAGATTGCCATGATGCCCAACAGGCGGTCGATGACGCCGGCCCCGAGTATGCCCTACCGGACGGTTGGACTTCGTTTATCCTCCTCCCGCACGTAGTCGAGTTCCTCTGCCTCGCGCAGGCCTCGCGCATGCGGTACATCCATGTTGAGCGGTGTCGTGAGTCCGGACCGGTCCATGTCCTCCATACCCTCCCGCTCGAGGCCGGTGGGGAAGAAGAGGCCGACGCGGGCGAGGGCGAGGGCGAGCTGGCGAGGGGCGGACGCGATGCCGGGCATGGATGGTACCGGCAGGATCTGGCCATGTGAACGAAGCGGTGTCATGTTACTGGCTCACAGGAGTACAGGTGTTAGTTACGGGACCGACGAGTACGACGTGCCCGACGAGGTAACCTGACGGATCTTGTCGTAGGTAAAGGCACAGCCGTCCTTGATGAGGCCCGGGATCGAGGCCCAGAACGACTTGTGCGGAAGGAGGCCGACGACGCCGCGCTCGCCCTTCTTGTACTGCCAGGCCATGCCGGCAATGAGGTAAACAACAGAGAGGACGAGGGCGATGATGAGGATGATGGAGCCAAGGGAGAGGCCCGACTTTTGGCCGGCGAGCCGCCGTTACCGCCAGCATTGGGGCACGCGTTGGCGTGCTTTGCCGAGAACGAGTAGACGCACGCGGCGTAGCCATCGTAGCTGAACTTGAGGTCACCGGTGACAGAGCGATCACAGGTGAGGGTCAGCTTTGCCTGGTTGCCCGAGGGGAGGCAATCACTATCTGTGACGCCGCCCATAGTAAGGATAAAGCCTTCGTCGGAGGAGCTGGAGAGCGATGAGAAGGAGTACTTTTCGGCACCAAGGATCTTGTTCTCGCTGGCGCCTGGGCCCCATTCCTGGCACACGGTGATGTCCGACTGACCGCTGCACACCGACGAGGAGAGGGGCTCACAGATGGCGATGTCGTACGTGTACTGTGCGTCCGAGAACACATACCCCTTACCACTAAGCACACACACACATACACATGGGTATGTAACCATGAGTCATCTCCACATACCCTCCTTCCCCACCCCCCCCCTTGCCCCGTGCCGTGGCCAGGTCACGTGAGCCCGTGATGGCCCTCGCACCAGCCATCACACAGGTCACCACCACCATCACCACCATCACTGCCAGTAACAACAGCAGCAGCAGAAGTAGTATCACACACACACACACACACACACTCGCTTGTTTTGGGAACATACCCGTTGCGAAAGAGGTTAGCGTTGTATGGGGCAAAGCTAGGGCACTCGGCATGGGCTACACTGGCTGCAGCAAGTAGGAGCAGGACGGCGGCAAAGGCCAGCTCCCGCGACATGATGGCACCTGCTGGCGTTGAGTGGTGGTCGCTGAGAGGGGGCATGGTGGGGTGGATGTTTGACTGGCTAACCTCGGGTTGGCAGCTACACCTGCGCAGCAAGGTAGTCGCGGACAAGCTGCTTGTGGACGTCCTTGACGACCATGTACTCGGACATGAGAGTGTCGACGGTGTCGGGCGCGGCGCGGGCGCGGGCGGCGGCGACGACGGCGGCAGCACGAGCGCCGGACCGGCAGTGGACAAGGACCGGCTTGGGGGCGGCGTCAAAGGCGGCAACGGCGGCGGTGAGGTCGGCGACTGTCGGGCCCGACGGCGGGATGGGCGCGGCGGCAAACGAGAGGCCTGCGGCGGCAACGGCCTCGCCCTCGTTCTCCAGGTGGCCGTCCTCGTTGGCGGCGGCAACGTCGACGATCGAGGCGACCAGCCCCTTGTCGGCGAGATATGTCAGGTCGTCAGTGGAAAGCCACGGGCCGACGAGAACATCGTTGTCGATGATGCGGAACTTGCCCTGGCGAGCCACAAATTCGTCGATGCTGCCAAAGAGGTTGATCGGCATCTTGAGGTAGCGGACGCCGTTGACCTCGGCCTCGGGCAGCTTGCCGGCGCGGACGTTGAGCTGGATGGACGGCACAAAGAGGCGCGGGAGCGAGAGCGTGGCGTCACGCTCGGCGCGCCAGTTCACAAACTGCTCCTCGTCCGTCCCCAAGGCAACGTGCTTGTTCGACGCCTTCTGCGCACCGATGGTCGACTCGAAGACGTAGTCGGATCGGTCGCCGGGCGCGTAGTCGTGGCAGGTGAACAGGCGGGTCTCGTCCGGGAGAGCAAACAGCTTTTGGACCGAGTTCCAGAGGACCTCAGACGAGCCACCAGGAAAGTCGCAGCGAGCGGTGCCCATGTCGGGCATGAAGATAGTGTCGCCGACAAAGACAGCGTCGCCCGGCAGGTAGTACGAGACGCACGCCGGGGTATGGCCCGGAGTGGAGAGGACGTTGACCTCGAGCGAGCCGATGGCAAACGTCTCGCCCTCCTTGAACAGCTTGTCAAAGTCGCGGCCGTCCGGAATGAGATCGCCCCAGTTGAAGACGGTCTTGAAGATGGACTGGACGGTCTTGATGTGCTCGCCAATGCCAGTCGTCCCGCCGACCTTTGACTGAACATAGCGCGAGGCCGAGATGTGATCAGCATGAGCATGGGTATCCAGAACCCACTCACAACGCAGTTCGCGCTCGTTGATGACAGCAATGATCTTGTCGACCTCAGTCGTCGAAGTCACGCCGGAAACAGCATTATACTCGAGGACGGAATCAATGACAGCACATGCTGACGTAGTCTCGTCAATGACAAGGTACTGCGCCGTGTGGGAGTCCGGCTCATGGAAGACAATGACTGTCGCCTTGTTCTCGTTGGTTGCACTCATGTTATACAGCAGGTATATGAAGTGTGGCAAGACAGAGAGACAGAGAGAGACAGAGAGAGAGAGAGAGAGATAGGTAAGGGTGACGAAACGCTATTCGTTAGTTTGTTCGTTGGCTGTGTGTGTGTTTGGCCGCAATGGCCGCAGCCCAATCCCCACCCCCCATGGATTTGGCTAAGGTTTTTATGTCTCAATCTCTAAATTGCGGCAGAGGGTTATCGTGATTGGCCTCATCAAATCGAGGTGATTTGGGTAGGTGAGGGTCAAGGGTGCAAGGAAGGAGGTGGATATGTATGTTGATTGTTAGGCGACAGCGAGCTCGAAGCGACAGTTGGGACACGAGGGCTTGGAGGAGAGCCAGGGGTGGACGCAGTCCTTGTGGAACACGTGGTCGCAAGGGAGGATGCAGACGGTGTCGCCGGTGGCAAGGTCATCGATGCAGATCGAGCATGTTCGCGTGCCGAGAGAAAGGTCGGGCTGGTAGGTGGCGAGCGGGAGGAGTGCCAACTGGTCGGGCGTGAGGCCGACGGGCTGCGGCGGTGGAGCAGGGCTCGGCTCGGGCATCCGGCCAAACATGGCGACGAGCTGCGGCGGGAGAGTGATAGAGATCGAGCTCGAAGCGCCGAGCGCGTTGAGGCCGTTGACGATGCGGACCATTTCAGTGTAGAGCCGATGGTGCGTGACAAGCTGCTGGACAAGGACAAGCTCGTCGTAGAACGACCTCGACTCGGGCGCGGTCGCCGCGGCCGACAACTCGCTCTCGGCGTTGAGCAACTGGCCAAAGACCCGCTCGAGCTGCAGTCGCAACGGGAGAAAGGCCTCCTGGACTCGAGTCTGCTGGTGGGCAACCACGGCATCGGCGTCAACTTGGTCGTCGTCTGACGAGTCCGAGATGCTGATGGAGAGATCAAAGGCAGAGCGGGTCGGCGACGGCGGCGGCGACGGCGACGAGGACGACGAGGACGACGACGGGATGTTGGACCAGGGTGCCATAGACCGACGCAGCACATCATCGGCCGACGCCGCCAAGGCGTCAGGCATGTGGCTGCCGGTGGCAGTCCGTCCGCTCGTGCGCTGCCGGCGGTCCAGACGTCGCCGGTAGCGAGCGATCTCGAGCGGCGGCGGTGCCGCCAACGACGACGACGACGACGACGACGATGAGAGTGATGATAGCGATGACGACGAGTCCAGAAGCGTGTCGAGGAACGAGAGCCGCGGCTCGTGCTCATCATCCGAGTCGGACTGGCGAGTGCCGCTGCGAGTGCGAGCGCGGCCGAAGGCTTGGCTGGGAGTGGGTCTGCGCGGGACCGCGGGCGTCTCTGGCACCCGCTCGCGGGCCTCGAGTCGCTGCGCTGACGCGCTGGCCTCGGCGAGCATGTTGGTCAGTGAGCTCGAATGCTGCATGGACGGCTGGGGAGCGTCTGCTCGCGCCGGCGGTTGGCGGCGACGTGAGCGATGGCTGCGGCGCGACGGGACCGAGCGAGGAGGCTGCTCCGACGGCAAGGGCGACGACGACGACGGAGCGGGCTGGCGGATCCGCCTCGCACGCTCACGCAGTCGCTCCTCGACTCGAGCCTCAACCCGGGCCTCGCGGGCCGCCACCAGCCTCGCGTTGCGCTGGGCGACGGCATCTGCAGCGCGAGTTGACGCCCGCAGCGTCTCGATCGACGAAGACGACGACGGGGGAGGCGGCTGTGGCTGCGGCTGCGGGCCGCTCCGCGACCGATGCGCGCTCCGTGAAGGAATGGCCGGCGAGCGAGCACGGGTCGGTGGTGATGGCGAGGATGGGGCCAACAGACTTGCGCGATCTGTGGTCGACCGTGAACGGAGGAGTGTGCGGTCTGGTCGAGACCTGTGGTGAAGCGGCCGAGCCTGGCCCCCGTACGACGAGTTGAGCCTGGACAGCGAGGACAACGACGACATGGGAGTGCCTTGCTGCTGGGGTGATTCAGGAGCCATCCTTGGCGCTGTCCGTGGCGCGCCCAATGAACGCGCAGAGCGCAGCTGGGGAGGTGGGGTGCGGCCGTGGTGTTCGCTGGCTGTTGTCATGCGTCGAGGAGGGGGACGAGGGCCACGGGTATGGTGTGCACGGGCATGGGTATGTGTTCGCTGGGGAGCTCCCGACGTGGAACTGGACCTGAACAACAACTGCACCGGAGTCCGAGTCCGCGCACTTGCGTTAAGCGCATGCCGGCTCGGGTGCGGCATATGGGCGGAGGAGGCGTGGGGAGAGGGGAGAATCTTCCCTTGTCCCACACCACCATCGATTGTTTGTTGTTCCAATAGTCGTAGCCCACCCACCGACTGCCACTCACCACCACCATCGATTGTTTGTTGTTCCAATAGTCGTAGCCCACCCACCGACTGCCACTCACCACCACCATCGATTGTTTGTTGTTCCAATAGTCGTAATCGTCCACACCCCTCCCTCGCCCCCTCCCCCCCCCCCACACACACATGTCCCAAATCAACACCGCGTTTGTGCTGGACGCATGCGTGGTCGACGTTCCGGTGTTAGACAGAGCAGTCTTCCGCCAATGGCTAGCAGGCCGCTCAGGTAGGCCCACCTTCCCCCCCCTCCCCCCCCTCCCACCCACCCCCTCCCACCCCCTCCTCACCCTCACCCTCTCCACACAGTGGCAGAAGCTACCAACGCACGGATGGAAGAGCTGCGAGTCAATGCGCAAACTGGACGGGGATTTGTGCTTGCCGATGTGAGGGATCAGTTCCGGTCGTTCAAGGTGCTGCAGCCGTACCTGGCCAAGCCGCAGCATCTGGCCATGCAGATGATGCTTACGGTGTCTGTGGCGGACACGCGGTGGCTGTTGGAGGAGTACTACTCGTTTGATGGTCCGGTATTCAGAGAAGTGGTCGGAAAGAAGCTCTCGTCTAAGACTCGCCGCGATCTGGATGATGTGGCCGAGCGGAGCCACGTCGAGCTAGTCTCCTGCCAACGACAGTTTGACAACCTCCGCACCATCTTTATCACCTGCGAGCAGTTTCTCCAACACGCGGCCGAGAACTCTGACAAGCCGTTTGTTCTCGCCCACTCGTACACTGTCGGAGATCTCCGCCGCGCTCCACACGTCCACAGTGAGTCCAACACTCCGCTGGGATCACCGTCTTCGCCGCTCCACACCCGCTCGCTCGGCAACGCAGCGCAGTTTGATGCCGCCGTTGCGTCACGGACCTCGTCGTGGGCCTCACGCGGAAGCCCTTCGCCGACTGCTGCCGCCGCCGTCGATGCCTTTGGCCCGCCGACTCAGCGCGCGTCGGCCGGCGACCTCGCACATCGTCCGCTGTCGGGCGAGATGGGCCCGCCGCCACCGCACACGACGCGATCGGCCGGCGCCTCGCAGAACAACTCGCTCGAGCTGCTCCAGCTTCCGCAGTACGGCGGTGGAGGAGCCGGCGATGACGGCGGGTCGTCCGGGCGGGTCACGCCCGACGCCGCCGAGCCGTCGCCGGCCATGGCGGGCACTGATGGCACCTCGTGGCAGCTCGCCTTTGCACCGGGCACCTCGCTCAACGCTGTTGTCGCCACAACCTTTGTCATTCCGCCGTCGCTCGCCGATCGCTACGTCCGCGCCCTCGTCATTGTGGGCAACCGCATCGAGGTCTCCAAGAAGCGGCTAGCCTTTCTCCGCTACGGCGACCTCGACGCAGTTGCGGCCATCATTGCTGAACAGTGGATCCAGCCGTCGGCCTCGTCGTCATCATCCGGCATGCAAACCTGGCGCCTCGACGCCCGCTTTGCCGACGCTCTCCGCGACGTCAAGTCGCTGCTGCAAGACCGCGAGGTGCTCGACACCTACCGGCGGCTCGCTCTCTCGCGGCTCGCCACCTCGCCAGGCTTCTCGGACCAGGTCCTTGCCGCCATCAAAGCCAAGCTCAAGGAGCTCCTCCGCTCGCTCATCTCCATCGGTGGCGGGCTCTGTCAACCCAAGGAGTTCCGCGACGTCCTCCTTGATCTCTTTGACGGCCCTGTCGAGCTCTTTGCCGCGGCCTCGGTCTCAGTTGATCAGGTCCACCACGTCTTTACCGTCCTCCAGCAGACCTTTTCCGGTCTCGACGAGCTCCAAGTCCGCAATCGCCGCTCGTTCCTCATGCCCTGGCGCCGCTACCTCGCCGGCGCCCGTGACATCACCACCTTTCTCCTCCGCCGCTACCCCACGAGCTAGTCGCTCCGCGCCTCGCCCCTCTCCGTCCGCCCACGACCAATACTTAACACATGCCCTTGCAACTGTTGTTGTCTCCCCCAAATGCAGTCACTACTTTCCGACATCGCCCGCCTCATCGCGCATGACATGCCCGCCTGTCAACCCAACCCGCCCGCCCTCCCACCGCTGATTGCCCTCTCACGCGCGAAGTCGCACTCGTCTCCCAAACCCTCCTCCCAACACACACACTACACACTACACACTACACACCACACACCACACCACACCACACCACCACCAACATCTCCACCAGCATCTCCACACACATGGACGTCTCCCTCCAGGGCCTGTCCCTGCGGCGACTGCGCATTCCCTCGGACGTGCTCCCGCTGGTCTCCCCAGCACCCACCGCACAGCCACTGTGGTCGACAGGCACAGCCACGCCCCCACCACCACCACCACCACCACCTCTACCACTACCGCTACCACTGCTACCGCTACTCCGACAGGAAACCCGCTGTCGCTCAGTCTGACCCCGTCTGGCACGCCGAACACTCCGGCCAAGCCGCCTTCCGTCGACCCGTTCTCCCCGCTGCAGACCCGGTCATCAAGGAAGCGGAAACGGTCTGCCGAGGAATCCGCCGCATTGGGCAGTCCCAAGTGCTCTGCACGGGCGTCGGCGGTGGGTGCTAGCTCGGCGAGGAGATTGATGGGCGATATCACTTCGCTCGACGTGTCATACAACTCGCTAACCAACCTGCCGTCGCAGCTGGTCAATCTCTCGGCGCTGGCCGCGCTCGACGCGTCCAACAACAGGATTGGTCTTCGTGGAACGTCGTTGCCAGACGCGCTGAGCGGCCTGCGCAACCTCACCCGCCTCGATCTTTCGTGGAACCGGCTGACAAAGCTCGCGCCGGTGCTGGGCGCGCTTCCGGCGTTGACCTACCTCAACCTGGCTGACAATCGGCTTCAGGAAGTGTCGGACTCGCTCGGAGGCCTCGCGAGCACGCTGCGGACTCTCAACATTGACGGCAACGAGGAGATTGGCAAGTTTCCGCCCGTCATTTCCAAGCTCACTTCGCTCACCGAGCTGTACATGGATGCAACGTCGCTGTCCAAGATTCCTGGCACCCTCTCGCGGCTGACCAAGCTCCATTCGCTCACGCTCGCCGACAACAAGCTCGGCCCGGGCTCGTGTGCCGCAAGCCTCTCCAACCTGGTCTCGCTCCACAACCTAGTCCTTGACTCGAACAGCCTCCGCGCGGTGCCGTCGTTTGTCTCGGCGCTGCCCCAGCTGGCGTGGCTCTCGCTGCGCTCCAACCCCATCGCCTCGCTTGCGCCGCTGGTCCGTGTCACCTCGCTCGCCGAGCTCGACGTTCAAGACACCCACATCGAGACGCTTCCGGCACGCTTTGCCTCGCTGCCATCGCTGACCTACATCGGCGCCGACTCGACCGAGCTCTGCGAGCTGCCGCCGGCGCTGGACGCCGCCATGACCTCGGGCCGCCTCGCCATTGGCCTGCCGTACCACATGCGGCCGACCGACCCGCCGGCAGCGGTCTCACCTATGACTTCGCGCGCCTTTCGGCTCCGGCATCGCCACAACGCACGTGCACCCAAGAGCCCGCCTAAGCCGCGCGCGCCGTCGCCGCCCATCGATCGCACCATCTCATTTGCAGAGCCCGCCTCCATCGCCTCTGTTTGCTACTTTGACCGCTCCGAGACGCCTTCGATGATCGGCCGCTCGTCCTGCCCGCGCGTCCGCATCACTGAACCGGCTCCGCCGGCCCTCAACCTCTCTGCCGACAACGGAAGCGGCGCTGATGATGGCCAACCCGCAGCTGCAGGCGTGGAGGACCACGACGCCAGCTCGTCGTCGGCCGCCTCGCTCTCGCTCGACTCGCCGACGCGTTTTAAACCCTAACGGTACGGTCGTTCGGACCCGTTGTTGCGCGTCTTGAAGTGAATTACTTGATGATGCTTGACTTCCAGGTCACCGGCCGACGCTGCGCGACGCCTGCTTGGCCTGCGGCTTGAGGTGGAAGGCGCACCCGCACGTGATGGCGGCTGACACGTAGACGCCCGCCCGAAGGAAGCCCGACCTGGGAGCATGGGCGAGGCACGCGATGTGCCGTACGGTGCCGATCCGGAGGACCGGCGGGCGCGGACGGTGCGGAGCTTGTCATTGACGACCCCGAAGACCGGGAACGAGAGCATGACAGAGTTGAACACAGTGGCCGGACGGGAAAGCGCGAGGACGTCTTGCGATGGGCGAGCTTGCCGGTCAAGTCCGCGCCGTCGCGCAAGCGGAAGCGCACCTCTGCAGCGGCTGCTCGTCATCACCACTTTCCCCAACAAGCCGCTCTGCGACGCGACTGCCTCGCCTTCCGGAAGCTTCATGGTAAGCGATCGCGGCCGCGGACCATTTGCGCCGCGTGCAGCGTCCATCTCTGCATCGCCGACTGTGGTCTGTTGTGGCAGCCATTAACACATTGTACTACTCTTTTACCACGGTCGATGGACGTTGCGACCTCTGTGGAGCGTCGCGGAGCGCGGCTTGCGCGATGGACAAGTGTGTCCATTCCGTACCGTAAAGGGCTAAGTGGTCCAACCGTAGCCGCGTCTTTGTGCTGCGGCGCTTAGCCCGAGGCCGACGACGAGTCAACAAACGACGCCGAGCGCCCGACGCCGCCAGAGAGCACGTGTCGCGACGACCGGTGCCGTGCCAACAGCGAGGCCTGCGGCGAGGTTGCAGCGAGCTCGCCCGAGCCGCTGTCCGAGCCAAAGTCCGACGAGTCGCGGAGCTCAAGGTCCGAATTTGACGACCACAGCGCAGCGGCGTCCGACTTGAGGCGCGCGTGGCCGCCGAGCGCGTCCCCGGTTCCGCCGACGTAGTGGTACCGCGACGCGAGGAGCGTGTGGATGCCGGTCATGACAACGAGGAGGACGGCAAAGATGAGGAACTCGAGCGCCTGCGAGGAGACCAGCTGCGACTCGGCCATAACGATGACGACGACGTTGCCAGCGGCGACGGTGAGGAGCCATGCAGACTGCATGATCGACTTCATCGAGGCCGGCGCCTGCGAGTACGCAAACGAGAGGCCAGTGACCGAGAACATGATTTCGCCGATGGTGAGGACCACGTACTGCGGGACCTGCCACCACATCGAGACGCACTGGTCCTGATGACAGCCTCCCACCGCCGACGTCTTGGCCTCGTGCAGCTCCTCGAGCTGCGTTGTCGACAGCGCGGCGCAGCAGCTCGAGTCGATCGAGGTCTGGACAAGGGCAGCGATGCCAAACGAGATGGCGCAGACAAACATACCGACGCCGATGCGGCGGAGCGGCGTAAAGTTGATTCCCATCCGGCGGACGGCTGGGTACACCACGTACTCAAAGACGGGGATAAAGACGAGGATGAAGAGCGCGTTAAGCGCCTGCATCTGGTCGGCCTTGAGATACCCATGTCCGTTCATCCGCAGCGCCATCAGCGTCCACCGCGACGACTGCTGGTCAAAGAGCGACCAGAAAATGGGCAGCGGGAGGAAGATGACAAGGACCCGGAGCGCCGCGCGGACGTCGGCCACCTTGGCCGCGCCGTGGCGGGCAACCGCCGGTGCGAGCCACCCGTGCTCAAGCGTCGAGCCGCCAGAGCCGGAGAGCTTGGCGCCAAGTGCAATGCGGACGACCGAAAAGAACATGCCAAGCACGTTGTCGCCGGGCGGGATGCGCACGTACTTGGAGATGCCGGCAAGGAAGATGCCGAGCGCCACAATCATGAGCGCGGCCGGCACGCCAAAGGCGAGCGGGTAGCAGTCCGGATGGCCAAAGCACGAGACGTCGTCGCGGAGAATGGGCGTAACAATCATCGACAAGACCGAGCCGGTGTTGATACAAAAGTAGAAGAGCGAGAAAAAGGTCTCGAGGAGGCCAGACTGGGCGTCGGAGAACTGATCGCCGCCAAACGACGAGACGCACGGCTTGATGCCGCCGGTGCCCATAGCAACCAAGAAGAGGCCGGTCATGACGCCCCACCAGTGCGGCGGATGGCCGGTAGCACCCGGAATGGCTGTAGCGGCAATGACAATGCATCCGATGCAGTACACGACCGAGAAGCGGAAGATGGTGGTGAACTTGCCCCATCGCGAGTCGGACAGCATGCCGCCGAGCAGCGGCGACATGTACGCCACGGCGATAAAGGTATGCGTCACCGCCGTCGCCCGATGTTCCGAAAACCCAATATATCCCACAAGATACACCGCCAGAATCGCCCGCAGCGCATAGTAGCAGTACCGCTCGACCAGCTCGTTGCCCAGAATGTGTGGCACCGCTGCCGGCCACCTGCCCATGATCACCGAGAGGACGAGGGGGAGGAGGGGGAGGAGGGGGAGGAGAGGGAGGAAGGGAGGAAGGGGGGGAGGACAGGGAGGAGGAGGAGGAGGAGGAGGAGGGGGTCGTGGAGTGGTGAGGAGAGACCTGGCGGTGGCCGTGGCCGTGGTTGTGGCGGGCGAAGGGGTGCCAAAAGGCTGTCTGTCATTGGACGGTGTGTGGTTTGCCCAGAGGTCGTGTTCTTGGAGAGGCCGCAATTCGGTCGGTGAGGGGGCATCGAGTCACGGACGTCACAGATGACCACAGGCCACAGGCTGTGCTACTGCCACTGCCACTGCCACTGCACCCTCCTCCACCTGCACTTACGATACTTACGATACTTACGACACTTACGACTCTCGCTCGTCTACAAACCCCACTCTCCGCACACACATACACACACATACGCAGTATGGCTAGCTCGGCTGGCGAGCGCCTCATCGACGACCACACCGAGGCAGAGGAGGCGTATGCAGAGGCGGTCGAGGCATCGGTGGTCGGCCTCGCCCAGTTCCTTGCTCAGTATCCGCTGTCAGTGGTCAAGGTGCTGGTGCAGCTCGCACCGCAGAGCAAGGATGGTGGAGGCGGGCTGATGCTCGCCGCCCAGCACACGGCAGAGTTGATGAAGCATCTGTGGGCGGTCGGTGGCCTCGCTGGTCTCTGGCACGGCCTCAGTGTCTCGCTCGGCTACGTCATGGTGTACATCAATGCCAATCAGGCCGTCCTTGCCGGTCTCAACACTCTCTTTCCCACCGATGCCGCCTGGGTCCTTGCCCACTCACGCCGCGCCTTTCTGCTGAAGGACGCGCTGCTCTCGAGCGTCTCGGGCCTCGTGGCCACCCTCATCGCCAAGCCGCTCCAGGTCGTCCGCACCCGCATGCTTGCAGCACTGCTGCCGCAAGCCCTCCCGCTGGCACTCTCGCCGGCCGCCTCCGCCGCCGCCAGCTCGGGTGTCGCTGCCGCCGCCGCCGCCACCTTTGTCCGCCGCCAGTCTCTGGCCGCGCTGGCTGCCGCCAGCCGGATCTCTGCCTCTACGGCTGCCGCCGCAATTGCCGCTGACACCGGCTCATGGCCATGTCTTGGGGCGTGGGCGACTGCCGGGACGATCGTGGCCGAGGCGGGCGCGTCGGGCCTATTCGCCGGACTCCTGCCGTCGCTGGCGGGCGTCCTTGCCCAACAGTTTGCCTATGTTGTGGCGCTTGATGCCCTCGACTCGGCATGGTCGTTTCTGGCGCCGTACTTTCGGTCGGCGCAGTGGAACGAGCTGTCTGCGCTCGAGCAGGAGACCGTGGTGGCCGGTGAGCGCTCGGCCATGGTGCGACTTGTCCACACCATCGGCCTTGTCGCCATGTACCCTTTCGAGGTCATCGCCCGGCGGCAGGCGCTCACATATTCATCACGCTCGCTCATTGCCTCTCCCGAGCTCCGCAAGCGCGACACCCTCGCTACCGCCTGGGCAACCGACGGCTTTTCGCTCCTCCACGGCTTTGTCTTTTCGCAGATGGCCGGCTGGTACTGATCCGTCACGGACCGAAGCAACCAGACACCACTATATACCACACACACACACACACGCACACGCACACGCACACGCACACACACATGATCACATGATCACATGCTTACATGCTCACCCTCGACGATTTTCACCCATATCGTCAGAATCATATCCCTCCCCTGCCCAAACCGCCCCACCGCCCCACCGCCCCGCCCCACCGGCCCGCCGCCCCCCCATTCGCGCGCGCGCCAACTCGTCCGCCACCGCCACGCCAGACCCTCCTGCACTCAACCCCTCCGCCCACCCACCCACCACCCGCCCACCCACCCACCACCATGTCCATGTCCCTCTCTATGGACTCGTCCGGAATGGACATGACCTTTGAACTCGAGGGCGGGGCGAGCATTGCCGACGCCGACCCGTCGTCTCCACCTCGCCTGGCCAACACCTCGCGGTTTGGTCTCCCAGACCTCCATACCGTCGACATCCCTGCTCTCCGTGCCGAACTCCGGGCAGGGGTGAGGGACCTCACACAACGTGCTCTCTTCCAGTCTGCAAAGTGGTACGTTCTCCTTCCCCCCTCCCTCCCCCCCCCCCTCCCCCTCGCGCCCTACTCACGCTCACCTTTGGCTCTCGCACACAGGGCCGCCGAGAACTTGCTCGGACTACCGCCTGAGGATGAGGCTGGGGAGATGTCATCGCTGGAAGCTAGTAGCGGCATGGGTCGGGCTGAGGACGAGGTCGTGCCGTCGGCAGGCGAGGCCGATGTCATTGCTATGGCCAGGGTCTACTTTGAGATGCGCGAGTATCGGCGGGTGGCCCACACGCTCCACGAGGCGCAGAGCGATCTGGGCAAGTTTATGCGGTGGTACGCCACGTATCTGGCTGGCGAGAAGCGGATGGAGGAGGATGCGCTGGAGCTTGTGGGGCCAATGGCCGAGGCGCCCGGGAGCAACGGTGAGCTCCGCAGCCTGGCTAAGGAGCTGGAGAGCGAGTATCAGGCCTCGAGCCTCGATGGCTACGGCATGTACCTGTACGGGCTTGTGCTGAAGCAGCTTGACGCGCAAGCGCGGGCACTGTCGATGCTTGTGGCGGCGGTCAACGCGCGCCCGCTGCTGTGGGCGGCATGGACCGAGATTGCAGGCCTCTGCACCGACGCGGTGATGGCGGCCGAGCTGCCGCTGCCGGACCACTGGGCCAAGACCATGTTTGTGGCGCACCTGCACCTCGAGCTGCAGCAAAACGCCGAGTCGCTCACGCTGTGGGAGGAGCTCGGCGAGCTGTTTGTCGAGTCAGACCACGTGGTGGCGCAAGCTGCGCTCGCCAACTACAACCTGCGCGAGTTTGGCGTCTCGGGCGATCTGTTCGAGGCCCTTCTCGAGCGCGACCCGTACCGCCTCGAACACATGGACACGTACTCGAACATTCTGTACGTCAAGGAGGAGGCCGCCAAGCTGTCGCGGCTAGCACACAGCGCGTCGCAGACCGAAAAGTACCGCCCGGAGACCTGCTGCATCATCGGCAACTACTACTCGCTCAAGTCGCAGCACGAAAAGGCGGTGACCTACTTCCGCCGCGCGCTTAAGCTCAACTCGCGGTTCCTCTCGGCGTGGACGCTGATGGGCCACGAATACGTCGAGATGAAGAACACGCCGGCGGCGATCGAGGCCTACCGCCGCGCGGTGGACATTTCGCCGCGCGACTACCGTGCGTGGTACGGGCTCGGCCAGACGTACGAGATCCTCTCCATGCCGTTCTATGCCCTCTACTACTACCGCAAGGCCACCACGCTGCGACCTTACGACGCTCGCATGTGGTGTGCAATGGCCAACTGCTTTGAGAACCTCGATCGTGTCCCAGAGGCCATCAAGTGCTACGAACGCGCCCAGTCAAACTCGGATCGCGACGGCATCGCCCTCTCCCGCCTCGCCGACCTCTACGACGGGCTTGGAGACTCTGCCAAGGCCGCGTTCTACTTTGAGCGGAACCTCGCCCGCCTCGAGAAGGAAGGCGCCGCCGGGCCGGCCATGGTCAAGGCCCTCATCTACCTCGCCGTCTACTACAAGAACACCGGCGATTTTGCCCAGGCCGAGCTCTTCTGCTCGCGGCTGCATGACTTTGGCGGTCGCGAGAAGGAAGAGGCCAAGGCCCTGCTCCGCGAGATCCGCGCCGCGCACCGCCCGCTCATCCCATCCACGCCCAACACCTCGAACCCGTGAGTTTGGGACACGGGCTAACCAATAACAGTTGAGACAACGTGACGCAGCCACGCAGCCGCCCAGCCCAACAGCCCAACACATCCGCCCAACCGCTTCCCCACCCGACGATTGCCACGTCAGGCAGTCGGGACACAGGGAGAGGCAATCCGGCAATCGGGCAATCGGGACATCGGGCAATCAGGCAGTCAACTGTGGCCCATCGCCCGTCGCCCGCCCGTCGCCCCCATTCGCCAGACGGCCGTTGGCGCCGAATACCCATCACAGCCGCAGCTCCCCCACCCGACGACCCGCCGCCCCGCCTCGGCCACGCGCCAAGCGCCACCACCTCACCACCACTACCACCACCACCGCCACACATACCCACACACATACACATACACATACCCAGGCACAGAACCCAGCATGGAGGAGATTGCCGAGGCGTACACGCGGCCGCGGCGCGACTTTGGACGGCCGTGCAATTTTTCGTTGCGCGAAGCGGCGCTGCTGGTGGACACGTCGACGGGAAGCCGGATCGAGATCCGGCCCGAGGCCGAGCTTGAGGAGGAGTATGTTGTTCGAAACCCAGTGGAGCGTGCTGTTGAGCGGCGGGATGTCATGTCTGTCCACGAGGTGAACACTGAGCACATCCAGACCGAGTCGCGCGGTGTGCTGCATGTCGAGGGCGGTTGGCCCAAGGACGTCAACTACATGGAGGCCGGCTCTAAGGAGCGGTACAAGCGCAAGGTGGAGAAGGACGACGACTTTGTGTACCGAGTCAAGGCGCTCGGCGAGCAGGTCGAGGTGGCCATCATGGAGAACAACGCCATCGACATCTACGAGAACTACTTTGTGGGCGAGGAGGTGGACCACTCGGGCGAGCCGCCGTCAGCCAAGACGCTCACTGTCTTTCGCGACCCGGCCGAGCTGAAGCGGACAGCGGCAGACGTGGCGTGGCAAGGCGACAACTCGTCCAAGATGGCGATTGCGTACTGTGAGCTCCAGTTCCAGGGTATGGTCGAGGGCACCTCCATGTCGTCGTACGTGTGGGACGTAGAGAACCCCACGGCGCCCGAGCTGGAAATTGTGCCGTCGTCGCCGCTCTGGTGCCTCGAGTACAACCCCAAGGACCCGCACATTCTGCTCGGCGGCTCGCAGAATGGACTCATTGCGTTCTGGGACACGCGCAAGGGCGCGTCGGCCGCCAACTCGACGTCGTCGGTCGAGCGCTCGCACCGCGACCCGGTGTACTCAGCGCGCTGGATCCAGTCCAAGTCGGCGTCCGAGTGCTTCTCCTGCTCGACCGACGGCATGGTCCACTGGTGGGACATCCGCAAGCTCGGCGAACCGCTCGACTCGCTCCGGCTCCGCATCCCCAAGGGCGATGGCACTATTCTCGGCGGCGTCGTTCTCGACTACGACTTTTCCATGCCCACCAAGTACATGGTCGGAACCGAGCAGGGCGTCATCCTCAACTGCAACAAGAAGGCGCGCAATCCGAATGACAAGATCCTCCGCACCTTTAACGGCCACCACGGGCCCATCTATGCTCTCCAGCGCAACCCGTTCTTCCCCAAGTTCTTCCTCTCGGTCGGCGACTGGTCAGCCCGCATTTGGAACGAGGACACGGCGTCGTCGATCATCACCACCAAGTACCACATGTCGTACCTGACCAACGCCGCCTGGTCGCCCACACGTGCCGGCGTCTTCCTCACCGCCAAGATGGACGGCACCGTCGACATCTGGGACTACCTGCACAAGCAAAACGACCCTACCCTCTCGCTGCAGGTCTCCGACTACGATATTCGCGCCCTCGACTTTCACGGCTCGGGCCGCTTTGTCGCCGTCGGCGACGGCGAGGGCACCACCACTCTGCTCCAGCTCTCGCCGGGCCTCTCCGAGATGCAGAACCAGGAGCGCCAGACCATCGGCGCCATGTTTGAGCGCGAGCAGAAGCGCGAAAAAATGCTCGAGACCCGCGCCCGCGAGCTCAAGAACCAGTCCAAGATCCAGGCCGAGATGGTCTCGTCGCAGCTCGACGACATCGCAGAAGTCTCTGAGGAGCAGCTCCGCCAGGCCGAGCGCGCCTTTTACGACGCCGTCCGCCAGGCCGAAGAGGAGCAGAAGGCGCTTGGCGGCGGCGAGTCGTCGGTCCAGGAGTACTAAACGCTTGTCCACCCTTTCTCGCTTTGCCCATCCTCGGTGGCGCGTACCCTCGCAAGTCGCGCTGCACTGGCCGCACGTCGGACATGTCGGTCGGTCCACCACATCGCGGTAGCGTGGACGCGTGCGAACGATCATTTGTTGGTTCTTCGTTCGTTTGCTCGTTCGCTCGTTCATTCGTTCGTTCGTTCGCTCGTTCGTTGGCCCACCCAACGGCTAGCCAGCCACCACCCCCCTCCCCCCTACACCCCACACCCCACATACCCACACACACACACACACACACACACACGCACCCGACCAACGTCAGGCGCCACCCACTCGACTGCCTTTACAGGAGGTATGTCGCGCAGCTATACCACATCCTCACTGGCGCGCGACCTGGCCCGGCTCTCTCCCGTGGAGCTTCGCCAGCTGCTGGTCGACGCCTGCGCCGCAGACTCGGTCCTCCGTGCCGAGGTCACCCGTTCGGTGGCGGCTCTGCTCTCGGCCAAGTCGCGGACCTCGGGCGGCACAAGCCCGGTCAAGCATGTTCAGCCCGACGATTCGCCGCTGGACGACCCGCGCATGTCCCGCCGCCCGCCGTCGGCGGCTGCCTCGCCCGCTGGCCGCCGTCGTCCACCCTCTGCTGCATCGGCCGCCTCGCCGTCCTCGCGCCCGCGATCGAGGGCGTCGCGGACAAAGTCGCGCAAGACTGGCTCGCCTGAGCGCGGTTCGCCCAAACGGCGCGGCGGCCTGTTTGACAGGCTCCCGCCCAAGGCTCTCCGCGTCCGCGCCTTCCGCAACGGCTACGACAATGACAAGGACGGCGTGTCGATCGCCGCCAAGTCGCTCGACCAGCTGCTAACGCTCGCCACGGCCAAGCTCAACCTCAACTCGGCCGCTCGCAGAATTTTCCGCGCCTCGGGTGTCGAAGTCAAGGATATGCCTGCTCCAGCGCCCGCCGCCGACGCCGACTCTGACGCTGAGACCAGCAGCCCAGCTGAGAGCCGCAGCTATGCCACCTTTAGCGACCTCGCCGCCGACGAGCCGGTCTTTGTCTCGATGGGCGAAGCATGGGTTGATCCCAAGATGCGGGGTATCCGCCGAACGGTGGTCTCGACCTCGGGCGTCGGCTCGGAGACTTCGCCATCGAAGCGGTGGGACCGGTTTACTCCGCCGGCCAAGACCTCGGTTGTGGCCTTTAAGAACGGGAGCCACGAGGACTTTGAGGGCGTCCGCATTCCAGGCGCTTCGGTTGATGAGCTCCTCATCTCGGCAACCGCCAAGCTCCCACTCACTACCGCAGGCCGCGCGCTCTACCTCGCCGACGGCTCGCGGGTTGTCGACTCGCTGCCGCCGGGCACGCCTGCTTACGCCTCGCCGTCCCGCGGTCGCGCCTCGGTTACCGCGCTCTCCGGCTCTGGCTCTGACTCTGGCGAGCAGATTCCTGATGCGAGCGACGACGACGCACACGCAGACGGGGCCAGCGGGTCGGTGGCATCGCCAACGCGGCGGACCCACAAGAAAGGCCGCGAGCCGCTTGTCCTCTTCTCAGAGCTCGAGTCTGGAACTCACGTGTTTGTTTCGTGTGGCGAGCCGTTCCGGGTGCCTGGCGATCTCAAGCCCATCATCTCACTCATCCGCCCGCTGCCAGCCGACTCGCGGCTCCTGCCGCGGCCGGCCAAGTACTTTCAAGTCCTGCCAAACGGCAAGCTGCCGAGCAAGTTCCACGCGCCGCGGATCTCGGGCTTTTCGCTCGAGGAGCTCCTTGCCGCCGCAACCTTCCGGCTCGGCTTTCCGACTCATGCCTCTGCGCTCTTCACCGAGGACGGCGCCGTCGTCGTCGAGACTCCGCCGGAGCACCTACTTCGTCTCGAACGACAGGAGCAGGCCGCCATGGCCAAGGTTCGCAAGTCGATGGCCGATGCCGCCTCGGCCGCCAACCAAGACGCAGCGTCGGATGGAGGCGCGAGCAAGCGCAAGAGCAAGCGCAAGAGCAAGAGCAAGCGCAAGCGCAAGAGCAAGAACAAGAAAAAGTCGTCGCACTCGGCTTCCGGCTCGAGCTCCTCCAACTCGGGCTCAGGCTCAGGTTCAGGTTCCAGTTCGGGCTCGGGCTCGGGCTCAGGCTCAGGCCCCAGTTCGGGCTCGGGCTCGGGTTCAGGTTCAGACTCGGGCTCGAACTCGCACTCGGATACCGGCGGCAGCGACAACGGTAGCACTGCCGGCGACGCCGGCCCTGTTGCGTTTGAGGACTTTGATGTGGGCGAGGTCCGCCGGCGGTACGTACTGCTCAAGGAACTGCAGTCCGGGACCATGCTTTGGGCATCGCGGGGCGAGCCGTGGCTCCGACCCGGCTCGCGCAAGCCACTGACCAAGCGGATCCGTCCGCTGCCGGAGGACTCGCCGCTCATTCCTAAGACTAAGAAACGGCTGATTGTGCTGATGAACGGCGAGAACCTGCTGCGGAAGGGCAAGCGCATCTGCGGCAACACGGTCCAGGATATCCTGCACCAGTGCCACGAGCCGCTCGGCATTGCCGGTCAGCCGAAGCTCCTGTTTCTCGGCGATGGCAAGATTGTGGTTGACGAGTACGACGAGAAGAACCCCGGCCGCATCCCGCGTCCGCCCAAGTCGGTCAACCCGATCGCCGAAGCAAAGAAGCAGCTCCGCGATGCCGAGCCGATCACGCCTGTCCGCCTCCAGCAGTCGTCGCAGTACGGGCGCGGCGTGCTTGCCGACGCCTCGTGGCGCGGTCAGCCGCATCTTCGGATCGGAAACTCGCTGCTTCACGCTGCACCGCCGCTCAACTTTGGCATTGTTCGCGGTGGCCGTGAGCGTTGTGTCAAGCTCGCTGAGCTGGGCGACAAGGCCCTAGTCTGGGTCTCGTGCGGCGAGTCGTTCAAGTCGCTCGTTCCCTCGCAGGACAAGTACAACCCGCATCCCAACGTGCCGACCATCCGACCGGACTCGCGCCTGTTGACTCGCAAGCGGACGCGGGTCTTTGCCTACAAGAACGGCTGGTTCCACAAGGGAACCGGCCACGCCGTTGTCGGTGCCACCCTCGATGACCTCCTGAACGAGTGCACCACCGCCCTCTCGATGATCCTACCCGCCACCATCCTCTACACGGAGGACGGCGAGCGCATCACCGACATCACCAAGCTCGAGAAGGACCAGATCGTCTTTGCTGCGCACACCCCGCCGTTCCGCCGCACCGACGAGCCGCTCGTCACCAACCCGGGCAAGTAAAGCCTTGGCATCCAGGGCGCGCGTCGTCAAGCCTTCAGCTTGTCCGCCACTCGCTCCCATGCCGCCGCTAGCGTCCGCGATGCTGGCGAGAGCAGCGTCAGGCTCAGCAGCGGAAGAAAGGTCGAGCCGTCGGCCGACGATCGGGGCGCTGCCGCGAGGAGCCGCGCAACCTCATCGATGCTCTGGTCGCCCACAAGCTCCTGAACTGCCATATCGACCCGTGCAAGGAGCTTCTGGAGGAGTGGTGCGAGGCGCGGCGTGGTCCACGCGCCGGCGAGTGCAGCTAGTGTCTGCGCGGCGGTGCCGACATCGCAGGCCGCCACTGCAGCCACGATTGCATCGCCAACCACTTCCGCCGTGATGACCACCACTTTGGGGTGCTTGCGGACGCGGACACGCCGGACCTTCTTGACTTTGACCCGAATGGTACGCTTGCCAGACCGCGGCTGCACAGATGGAGCCGCCCTCGCCACGCTCGGCGTGGTCGGGCCTGGCGGCGCGTCGGCGAGCGACGCCACAAACCGCAGAATGGGTGGGAGGAGATCGTGCCGCTGTGCGCCAAGGACAGCCTCTAGCACGTTGGCGAACGAGTCAAGCTGGAGTTCGTCTGGGCTAGCGTCGAGCAAAACAATAAGGAGGTTGACGCCCGAGTCGAGGTCGCCGAGTGCCAGTGCGCGCGCCACGAGCTCTGCCGGCTCGCCAAAAACCGAGAACATCCACGGCCAGAACGAGATGTCCGACTTGCGGACAACGCCGACGGCAGCAGCCAAAAAGACCTCCTCGCCGAGGTACTCGACAAATGCCATCGAAGACTCGAGCAGGTCGTTGGCTTCTGACGCGGTGGCGGCGTGGAGGACTCGCTCGGCGAGGCCGGTCACACCAGCCGAAACTTGGCTGGCTGTGGCAACACTGCGCGCAAAGGCAAGGAGGGTCGGAAGATCGCTTCCACGCGCAAGGCAGTGCAGAATGTAGTGCGCAACAACTGTGTGACTCCGCAGCGCCCGCTCATAGCCGTCTGATCCGGCCGACGAGAAAAGCGTCGGGTCAAAAGCAGCGATGGTTCCCGAGGCCGCGTCGAGCGCGAGCGTCGGCGCATACCGTGAGCTCCACAGGCTCTGCTCCGGTCCGCTACGAGCAAGGTCGGCCATCCACATCGAAAGGGCCGGCGCGCGTCCAAAAGCAGAGTGTGCCGTGTTGAGCGCAAGGCCGGAGACTCCGCGCGGAGAGGTAGTGAGCACCACCAGGCCAAGGTCCGCCGGCGCCGGCGCGGCCACAAAAGTGCCGACATCGGATGCGATCCAGACCGGTGCCGACGCTGCGCACCGTGCCGTGTCAAGCGTGACGAGCCCAAGCCGCCCGCGATGGACAAAGAGCAGAGCCGCAGCGTCGTCTCGGTCTGGAAGCAGGTGAAGCGAGAGTGCGGGTGACGCAGCAACAAGCGAGCCGGTGCCCGCCTCACCAAGCTCGATACGAGACAGAGCAAGGTACGGTGAGTCGCTCGGTGGCGAGGCACGGACCAGCAGCCGCAGCGAGCCGCTGGCGTCAAGAACAGCAAGCAGGCCGCCCCCGGGCGAGGCAGCGAGGCGGGCGATGCGGGTCGGGAAGAGAAGCGGCGCCGGAATTGGGGTCGGAACAGCCAGCGGGCTGGTGAGCGAGAATGGAACAACCAAATACGATGCGGCGGCGCGTGAGTAGGCAGCAACAGCAAACCGCGAGTCGTCGAGCCAGACAACGGCGATGACAGCCAGATCGCGCTCAGTCGCTCGCGAGCCAATGAGGTGCCACTTTGCGGTGCGGACATCGTAGACGGTAAAGCCGGCACCAGCCCAGACAACGCCATGGAGCGCTGACGGCGACCAGGCCCATCCGACAACCGGCGCGTTGTAGTCCTCGAGATAAGTGGGCGGATATGCGACGCAAGGGTTGAGGAGCAGCGCCGACCGCGGGCCGACGTCTTCTTCGAGCGCCTCCTCGACAAAAGCCTTGTACACCACGAGACCAGACTCGGAGACAAGAGTGAGGGCGCGCTCGCGGACGTTGCTTTGCATTAGATCGTACTTGTGAAGCTCGGCGGGCGAGGCAGCGAGGAGAGCAAAGCCGCGGGCAAACCAGCCGATGCTTGCAGTGTCCGGGGCGAGTGCAGCTGTGCGCGCATCGATGCGGGCCGGCGCTGCCGACGCGTACGACCAGGTGAGCAGAGCACGGGTGTGGTCGGAGAGGGTGACTGTGATGCCGACAGCATCGCCGCGTGGTGCAGCGACCACAGCACCGCTCACCACCACCGCAGCTGCAGGGTCGTCGAGGTCAAGGGCGGCAACAAGATCGATAGACGCCAGATGGCGGAGCAAGAGGCCCGCAGAGCTGCGGCGACGGGTGGCAGCAAAAACGCTCAGTGCGCCTGATGCCGTGAGGACGACGACCGCGCCATGGCGCGGAAGCAGTGCGCCGGCCACGGCGTCGGTCCCGGGTATGCTCGCGGTCTCTACACCAGTAGACGCCATGTCGTAGCGGACAACGCGTGCCGAGCCGTAGCTTGTCACCGCCAGCACCCAGAGCGCGTCACGGTCATCGCCATCGTCGGCAGCAGCAAGCGCAGTGATTGGCGCGTCGAGCTCGACGACCACGGCTGGCGCGTCGGGATCGCCCTCGAGCAGCTCCCACGGCGTGCAGACAGCTGTCGAGCCTGCTGCAGCAACCACTCGGTGGCGGGTAGCGGCCAAGAGCGGTGCGCCGGGGCCCAGATCGGCGCCGTGCGTCTCCGTGATGGCGAGGGCGGCCGGCCCGGCCGATGCGAGTCGGCAGAGCGCTAGGCGAGGAGGATGGGCATGGACAAAGGCCAGATGTGACCCAGACCAATCGGCAGCCATGGCAGAGAGTGGCGGGAGGGTGTCCGGAGGCGCAGCAGCCTTTGCCACACATGCCTCTGGCTGTGGCCGTGAGAGCCACTGGACGAGCGAGCCATCAGCGTGAGCCACAAAGCCCGCCGAGGCCGAGAGGGTAGTACAAGTGGCAACCACAGGCGAGGTGTTGCTGCTGCGGAGGATCAGTCGTGTCCCTGGTGTTGCCCGTGGGACGTATGTCCACATGGCAAGCGAGCCTGGCGGAGAGTGAGGTGGCGCAAGGTGGTGGTGGCGCGAGTGGTACGACGGTCATTGGCTACTGATGATGATGATGATGATGGTGATGGTGATGGTGATGGTGATGAGAGTGACGAAGACACAGACGACCGATAGTGGTGTGCCACCCAGAGTATAAGCTGAGAGATGGTGGAAGGGGAAGATGGACAAGCGATGTTATTTGAGGGGTGTGGGGGAGTGGAAGAGGGGTGGGGGGGGGGGGGGGGGGGAGGGGAGGGCCGGGTCAGACCGGGTCG